CATCCGCGTGCCCTTTGGTCATGCTCATGATCATGCTAAAATGATTGTGTTGGAAAATGATGGGTTAAGAGTCCTCATTGAAGCTGCAAAAGGTAAAATTAACCCCATGACTCTTGACCCTAATTTTTAATCACCTGTGCTGTCTTATCTCAGAACTGTGCTTTGTCGTAACTTGAAGTTCCCCAGAGATGATTCAGAAATTTGCCGCTAAAATGGTGTTTAATTCTTTTGATGAAATGTGCCCCTTGAGAGAGAAATAATATGACTGCTCCAGAGGTGGCAGTCATCAGAGCTATTTGCCAGTCTATCTAGGAAGTATTTTACAGCCCAGTACAGGTTTACAGGCACATTGTCCCTGCTGAGGTGCTGCATTCTTGCCAAGAAAAGATATTCTGTCTCAGTCTGGATATAGAGTGAACAGGACATCAGCTGTGTGCTGGCGTGTTTTAACATGTAAAGTGAAATTCACTGTGTCCTGTTTCTTTTTTAAATAAAGCAAAGTAAACCACCTTGATTCTGCAGCAGCCGCCTCCTTGTTCATAGTTACTCCGTTCATCATCTCTCCTCTGCAGCTTTCACAGATAACTCCAGTGTCCTCAGTGAACTGTGTGCCACCCTTTCTCGCCTCTCTGTCAGGAATGAATTCTGTCAAGAAATTGTGGACCTTGGTGGCTTAAATTTTATGGTGGCTCTCCTGGCTGACTGCATCGACCATCCGGTGAGCGATATAAAATGTGCTTGAGGGTAGAGGTAAATGTATTTCATGCTTTTCATTTTAAAGTCCTGGCTGTGAATGAACCTTAGACTGTGTGTTATTTTAGGTGCAATTAGGGCTGAAACCCAACCACTGATGCCTGTTCATGGCCTTATGTACAGAACTAGGTTACAGGTGCTGTCAGGTAAGACTGCAGTAATTTTGAGACCCTTGCTCATGGTTACTTCCTCTGTCTTCCACACTCCATGAGCAGAACTCTGCTTGCTCCCAAAAAAGTTGAGCTGGTTTTCTACCATTCTAGCTAGAGGAGACTCAAGAGGATTTAGATACTCAAGTCCCAGAGGGTTGATGTTTCATTCTTTAAGCTTCTTTGAAAACCTGCCAAACTGACAAAGTTCCTTATTACTCTGTCTAGCAAGGGAGTGTGCCTGAGATGTGAGTGACTGAGAATAGTGTTGCTGTTCATAACTGGGATTGACAACTGTTTGAATGGAGTTGCTGGGGGACGTTCTGGCTGGCTTTCCAAAGTCTGTAAAACTCTGTGTAGCTTTCTAAGCTGTTTATTCTTGATGAACGCAGGACGTGGTGAAGCAGGTGCTGAGCGCCATCCGAGCGGTTGCAGGTAACGACGACGTGAAAGATGCCATCGTTAACGCCGGGGGAACGGACCTCATTGTGCTCGCTATAAGCCATCACCTTGCCAACCCCCAGGTACGCACCGAAGGGGTTGATGAAGGTCCCACCAGGGCTGGGAACGAAGATCAGGTTTGGGCTGCGTAATGTATCAGCGTAACTCATCTTGTGTAGGGGAACAACCCACAGCGTTACTCTGACTTGCGATAAGCAGCTTGTGCTGAGAGCACAGTTATTGAATGTTTGCAACTGAGCAATGTATTAAACCTTTACCGTCCAGTTGTAGAGTGGTTAAGTGCAAGCTTCGGCAAATCTTTGTGTAAACGTATGTCTGCTTTACTATAATAGGGTTTTTCCTTGTTCCTGAATCAGATGGATACTCAATACAGTGTTTTACATCTCTGGGGTGTAAAACTTGGTTGACATGCCAGAGAAGCAGGATGTTTCAGTGGAATAAACTTAAAAAAAAGAAAATTAAATTTTAAAAATTTCCGGAAAAGGAAACAAACTCCAGACACTTTTTTTTCCCCCTTTAAAGCAACATTTTCAGCTAGTGAGTATCTTTTCCCCTTTGTCTTGCAGATCTGTGAGCAAGGTTGTGCAGCCTTGTGCATGTTGGCTTTGCGCAAACCCGAGAACTGTAATGTCATCATGGAAGGCGGAGGGGCATTGGCAGCTCTTCAGGCTATGAAAGCACACCCACGAGAAGTGGCTGTACAGGTATTTACCTTGAAGCACTTGATTATTTTTTCAGTATTGGTGTTGGCTGTGTTCACTGCTTCATTGGGATTCTGTCCTTTACTTGACAAATACCAAAAGGTTGAGTGTGCGGGGAATGTAGCATCTAAATGCAGGACCTCCTACTTGTGTCACCCTGATGTGATCAGAGCAAAATTTAGTTTGGGCTTCAAACCCACCTGAATTCAGGCTCAAGCGTCTGGGGAATGCCGTGCTTCTCTTCCAGGCATTACTTCTCCTTCTCAAAAGAGGAGGGTGAGGATAGGCTGTTTCAGCCCCAATCTGTGCTACAGTGTTATCTGTCTTATGGGAGACATTACTGTCTATTCTCCAGAGTCAAATAAGACACTTAAATGACAAGAGATTAGCCTCTGGTTTCTCATGCAAGTCTCAGTAGGTTGTGTCCACTTTTTTTGCTCTCCAGAGTATTAAAATACCATAGAAAATATTTTCTGAAAGAGTAGTTTAAGCTAAGTGCCAGGGAAGATGCCTGGAACAGTATACAAGGGGGTGGAAAGGTGGGTTTGCTGTAATTGGAGAATTCTGATTTAGCATTGTTTACAGAAGTACTTGGTACTGCTTGGCTGGTGTTAGAGATCTGCTGGTGTTCTGACAGAAGCGGGAGGTTTTGTTGTATAAACTTTAATGTGAACAGGCAGCCATACTTTCGTCCACAAATTCTATTCTTCCAGGAGATAGTTTGTTACTGTCTATAGCATCTCACATGTGGATGCCCAGAAAAAATTCTTTAGTTGGAGCCAGATCTACTTTGTGTGTGCCAGCATCCTACATGGATGGTATTTCCCTGCAAAAGATGCTAATATCTCTCATTTACCTCTCTCCTTAGAAGCAGGCTTGCATGCTGATCCGCAACCTGGTCTCCCGGAGCCGGGACTTTTCTCAGCCCATCTTAGAGATGGGAGCTGAGGACCTAATAACAGAAGCTCGTGCAACACACAAGGACTGCGATGATGTGGCCAAAGCTGCACTGCGGGATCTCGGTTGCAAAGTGGAGCTCCGGGAACTGTGGACAGGTCAGAAGGGGAGCCTGGCTCAGTGAACCGTCACTGCACTGAGCAGTGGAGCTTCGAGACATCTATGTCCATGAAGTCCAAGGGGGGTAATGAAGTGGCGTGGATTAATTTGCAGTTCCATTGAATTGGAATATCTGAAGCAAATATTGGCTTGTGAGGCTGCAGTGAACTTTTTATTGGGAGCTACAGCTGAAATGGCTTTTATGCATTCACAGGCTGCAAATCAACTCTGTGTAGTAGTCATTCCCCAATTCATCTAATGCCTGAAGATGATCTGCTCCCCCCTGTTGTTACATACGTTCCTTGTGTACAGAACCGGGCCATTCCCACATGCTCAGTTCTGTACATTAAGAGCAAAAGTGGCTCATTTCTGATTGGAGTGTGGTGCGTACCGTGGCAGCTGGTTCTGATTTGTTCCCCTGCTCTCTAGCAGCCTGATCTGATAACGGGGTGGATGAGGAGGAACCACATCATTTGTGAATATGTTCTGTCCTGTTGTACTGTTCTATTAACTGTTATTTTACTGCTGACCGTATTCTGTGTTGCTTCTTTGTTTGGGATTTTCAGCCAACAGAACATTTTAAACAAAAGCAAAGTATGGATTTTTCACAGTATGGCCCAAAGCAATGTACTTTGTTGCCATTTGCATCCAGGAGGAAAGTTCATGCTCTCTTTCAGGGAGATGAGCAGGGGGACTGGTAGCAAGGATGGTTGTTTCAAAGCAGGGATGAACTGATGGTGGTAGCGGGCAGTGGGAAGCTGGTGCAGGGGAGCCCAGGCTTTGGGTTCTCTCTTACTAGGGCAGCACTTCCCTGAATCCAGGGGTGTTGTAGGTAATGAAGAGGCCGGGGACTGGAGACAACTGCAGATTTGAGGGCAAAACAGGAGAGGTGAAACATATCCAGAAAGGGCTCTGAAGGCTTCTGTGTGCCCTCATTTCTTGCTGTGTTGTGTTGTTAACCAGCTCTGCTCTGGGTGCTGAACCTTCCTCCTGCACTGCTGCTGCTGTTGTACTTGAGTGGATGTTTTCTAACACGATACTCTGTAGAAATATTAAACCTATAAAATGTAAAAATGTATGAGGGTGGTTGGCTCTTTATGGAGCCTTTTTGAGGCAGAAAAAGTGGTGGAAATGCCCTCGGTGTTGGGCTTGTAAAACCTCCTGCAGCCCCTCACTGTGTTCTTCAGAGGCCTCTAACTCCGCAGGGGATTTGTGTGAGGAGAGCCGGCCTGCCTCCCCTCTCTTCCCTCTCTGCCAAAAGCTTCAGGTGTCTGTGCACTGCTCAACCTCCTAGACAAGATCCTGAGGGGGAAGGAGGCCCCACTCATTTGTGGAAGACTTGGTGAAGAGACCCTGCGGTCCTCAGTCCCGCAGGTGCTGTGTTGGGGAGCCCAAGCACTCTGGGGAGCACATTTGGTGCAACTTGGCACTGTCAGGCTTTGCCTTGCGGGTGAGGAGCAGCCCTGAGGCTTAACGTGGTGCTGGGAAAGAATCAAACATGAGATTTATTTTCCTTCTGCATTGAAGAAGCACTGGTGTCACGCTGGGCTTCACGTCTCTTGGTTTTAAGGGGGGGAGCGCATCGATCGGGGGTGCAGGGGCTGTCGGGCAGAGCCCTGCTGGCATGCTGCCGTGCGAGGGAGTTGTGCAGGGCCCGCTGCAAGCGGCAGAGCCCGGGCGCTGAGCAGGGCCCTGCGCGGATTCTGCGCGGGATCTGCGCTTCCCAGCGCCGGGCGCCACCCCGCCTCCCCCCGCCTCCCCCCGCCGCCTCCCCCTCCCGCGTTCCGCCTCTTTCCGGCACCGGTTGGCTGCAGCCACCGCCTGTCTGCGGACGCGTAGCCACTCCCAGCGCACGGTACTGCCCCTGCGGCGGTGATTGGCCCGCCCTGACGGGCGGGCCCCGCCTCCCGCGGGCGCAGCGAGGGACGGGGAGACGGCGGCTGAGGCGGCGCCGAGCGTGGAGCGGAGCCGGTGAGTGCGGGCCGGCCCCGGGCCCCTCCGCCCCGCGGCGGGCGCTGACACGGCCCCCGGTGCCCATCGCCGTGGCCTCACGCCTGAGGGCCGGGTGGCCCCGGGGCTGTGTCGCGGAGCCGGGTGACATTGCCGCGGCCTCCCACGGGGGTCACCGCCGCTTCGCCCTCTCCCGGTTAACCCTCCGTGCTGTCCCGGCGGTCCGGCCAGGGGCGGCGGGGCTCCGGCTCCTTCGGCCGGCCTTCGCCGCCGCTCCCTTCCGCCCGGGAGTTGAGGGGAGCGGCGGGAGCCGCGCCGGCAGCCGGCCCACGCTGCGGGAGAGCGGCGCCGGCCTTTGCCGTGGTCACCGCCGAGCCGCGGCTCCGCGCCAGAGGCCCGGCCCGCCCGCGGGTCGCGCTGCCCCGCTGCCCGCCCGGCCCCTGCCCGCCTGCCAGCCCGTCCCGCTTCTCCTCCGGCCTGTTTGTGGCCGCCCTGCTTTGCCAGCCCGTCCCGCATCTCAGGGCTGAAGCAGGTGGCTGTACCAAGCACCTCCAGCTCCTCTTCCCTTCAAAGATCTAAAGCTGGGCTCGGATGAGAGTGTGTCTCCTGATGCGTGCTTAGATGTGAGGTGTGATTTCTGTTTTGGTTTTTTTTTTTTTAAGTTGAGGTGAACCTGAGAATAAGGCAAGCCTGTGTTTCTCTACTGAGGGGTAGATACCAGAGGGTGTGGAAGACATTAAATGCAGCTCTCGATGTCCTCTGCTTCTGTCCTCCTTCAGCATAAGCAAAAGTTGCAGAGCGAGGGTGACTTCCCTGCTTTGCTTTCAAATATGGAAAGTGTCTGGGGTTAGATTTAAATTGTAACATAAAAAAACACACAGAAAATGTTGGAGTGACTGTGCAGGGTTAATAAACTCAGTTCCACCTTCTCTATTTCATGCGAACTCGCTGTACCGAGGGCGTAGCAGTTGGTGTTGCAGTTGCTTTGACCATAAACCTGCACTCCCCTGAAGTTTGGAGGAGTTGAAGATGTGTTTGCGTTTGACTGTTTTTCCTGTTGGCTGTTAATTTAGCAAACTGCGTAGAGTGGGTTTGGAGTCTGCTGTCACTTCGCTCTTTTTTGTGTTGGGTTCTTATGGTCACATTAACTGAAAAGCTTTTTCTGGAGGTTGTGTGCTCCTCCGATGTTTTTCTGTGGTTTGATGAATTTAGAGTGTTTTGAAAACATTCTGTTTTTTAAATGACTCTAGTTTGGGAGAAGGGTGCGTGTGTAAAGGAACAGAAGAGATGTCTGTGGGTGTTGGAAAACAGCTGAGGGAAGAGAGACTGTGCAATAAGGGTATCAGAGGGTTGGTATAATCATACCAACAACCTGTGGGTGAATTTATTTAAAAATAATCGTGTGATTGGGTGTCTGAAAAAACAGGGCTGGGTTCTAGGTAACACTGAGCATCTTTACATCCCATTAGAGCAGTGGATACTCAACACTTACTTTTCCCCAGCAAGTCAAAAATCATTGTTTAGGACCTCTGAATGTTAGTTTTGAGGAGAGCTGCGGAGGAGGAGGGCACAGGGACTGTCCTTGGTGTTGCATTTCATCAGGCTCTGGTGATTGCTTCAGGCAGGGGAATTTTAGCTGTTGATAGCACAGCGATACGAGTCAGGCACTGCAATAATTTCTTTTTGCTTGACCTGCAGCTGTAGCTAGTACCTGACTTAAGCAGTCCCCGCTGCAAGTGCATGTTTCAGGCATATCTGGTGTGTTAAACTTTGCTTCAAGAGATTACATAAAACGTAAGGTGAGCTCCAACGCAGCCTTGAGTGTGTGGTTACCCGGTGAAGCAGATGGGCTTGGTACAGGTCAGACAGGTTTGCTGTCAGAAAAAGCTCAGGAACCAGGAATAATTTTCTTCTAGTAACTTCACTGCTAATTGTAGGAAGGTACATTCGAGTTTGTGCCTTCCTTATGTGAAACTGATCCCAATACTTCGCATTCCAGGGCTGTTCCCCATTTTTCCAGGTGATATGTAAGTATTCCTGGTAGCTGTCTTACAAAGGGAAGTTACTTTTTGTGTTGTATGGAAAGGTAAACTGAAATGCACACTGCTTACTCCAGGACACAAAATAAATGCGTGTTGGAGGAGTGCTTTGCTCTCTAGTTGTGCTTTAAATCACTACTCCTTGCTGTTGTGCAGTTAGTGATGAAGGTGTGTCTGAGTTACCAGAAGGTAATCAAACTTAATTGAAGTCTTCAATGCTTTGGCTAAGCAGAGTTGATGCTTAACTTTGCATTAATTTTTGTACGATTTAGAGTACAACAGACAGTGGGGTGGGTTACTCATGTACAGTCAATGTGGAGAGCTTTGCTGTTGGGAAATATCACCTGCTTGGCACACTTGTGGGTCGTTCTGCTTAATCATGGAAGATTTTAGTTCTTTATTTTCCCTTTTGTCATAGGTAATTTAAACTGCTGGGGTTCTAGACCAGGGATCGTAATTATCTGTTACTGTGTTGAAATAGTTCCTGGCAAACATTGCTTGCGTATTGACTGAGGGTTGCTTGAATTCCAAATAATCTCAGTTTGAATTCAGAAATTTCAGTGGTGCTGGGATTTGTCACTTTGGGACCTCATCCGTGCCTGTGGTGACATTCAGGTGAATGTACCCAATATTCCACTGATGCGAAAGCTTGTATTTGCATGGGCCTGCAGAACGCCTGCTGACTGAGAGGTCACGTATAATATTTTACTGTCACTTCTTTATGACATTACCTTTGAGAAGTAATTTTTGAGAAGAGTATTCATGCTGGGCGGATGCTTGGGGTTTTGTGTGTGTGGTTGGTTGGTTGTTTTTCTGCCTTCTGTTCCTGAAGGAGGATGATTGCTGTCTGACAAATGGAGTGGGTTCAGCAGAGGGCCCCTGTGATTCAGTCCCCTTGTTTAAGTTCTCTGTTCTCCCTGAGATAAAGCTGTTATCTGTCTTGTAGATAAGAACTGGTCTTCAGTTTTTGGCTGTAGAAAGCATAGTTGAGGTGATCCCAGCAACAGTCTTCTTTTAGCAACTGAAGAATGAAGCAGTTTTTTCTTGCCAAGATTTTCTCTGTTCTATGGCTCATGCCTTCCTTCCAAGCTTATTTCAAAATGCAAGTCTTCTGGACTCCTCTGAATAATACAGCTGGCGTTGCTAGCAGAAGTTTACGTTTAACCATTTCTCAGTGTTCAGCAACTGGCTTAATTCAAGCCAGATAATCTAAAACCATGCAGAGAATTTGTATCTTTATCCTTAATTTATTGGCAGACTTGAGTTATATCTGGCTGAGGCAGACAGGAGGAGCATTTATTTTGTACTTTGGAGCTAAGAAAGCGTGTAAAAAAAAAAATCACACTCTTCCAGATATTGTAATTTAGTGAGTCTTTTAGTCAATGATTCTTGAAAATCACGCTAACAGTTTCTGTATCGACCTTTAAAGGCAGAAGTGCAATGGACTATTCATAGCTAATGTTTTGGGATCAGATTTGTATGCAACTGAAAGATGAATGTGACTGAAGAGAGTTGAGTCTGCAGGGCATATCTGGTTTTGATTTTTAATGGCTTAATCAAACTGGAAGGCAAAGATGGACCTCAAGGGGCCATCTAGTTATAGTTCATCCCCCTGTTCTGAGTGTTTCAGACCTCTTTTCTGTGATTTTCTGTGATGCTTTTGCTCCAAGGGTGAATTTAAGGCTGCAGTAATCTCAGCTCTTACCACATCTCTTTCTCTGTCAGGCTCAATTGCTCAGTTTAACAATAACAATTGAAGGAAACCTAATTGAGCAACTTCCCTGGGTACTGTTTAACTTCAGCCTGCCTGGGAAAATGTGTGAGAATTTCTGCAGGAACTCTCTTGGTTTTCTTTTTTCCTAATTTAATTATACATTTTCATTAGTGATGTTAACAACATTAAAAAAAAAAATGAATTAGCAATTGGATAGCTGTTGAGTAATGAGGGAAGCTGGCATATATGAATGGAGTTATACAAGTGACTTTACCTGAATGAAATTGAAATTCTGTCCCAGAGGTGAACTGTGACTTCATCCAAGTCTGTGTAACAGTAATGTCCGTGAGCTGTAAGTATGGTAGGTGCTGTACACATTCTGAGTTTCCATATGTGTCTTGTTTTGTCTCCTTCTTTTTGGTAATGATTAGAGAGGGGTGGATAGTGGGACTGTTTCTTCTGCCTATCTTATGAATCCAGTGCATTTTGTGGGCATCAAGTCATAGCAGCTCTTGTCTGCTGGAACTGTGTGGTTTTGCCATTCCCTGTCTATCAGGGCACTCCCATGTCCAGGGCTCTGAACTACTTTTATAATTACTACTGGGGCTGTCTGAGGAAAAAGCAAACATTTCTTAGCAAATAGCTGCCATTGGATTCAGATAGCTGATGGTGCTGACTGTTTGCTTTGCAGTGTATCTGCTGTTCTTGCTGGATAGATGATATTCTTTCCGAAATCTTAGTGTTTTGTGACAGGTCTAAATTCCACTGGAGAATATCAGACAAACATGTTTTTCGATAATGACACGTTGCAAGCCAGTCTCTGGGCTGGATGCCCGGGCTTCTCCTGTTTTCTGACTATGTAGTAATGTGAAAACTAATGACTAGGTCTGCTTTTTTAGTTAAGGTATTTTTCTGTTAACAGGTAGTTTCGGATCTGCCCAGGTGTTGGCAGAATGAGAGTGGTTCAGATGTTAGTGAAGCATCGAGAGGATAAGCAGTGTGATTTCTGCCTCCATCAGCTGTGAGTTTTGTGCAAGACCCAGATCTCCTCCTTCCTGCTGCTCCTGGAAGTTGGTGATGGTGATCTGCCATGGGAAAGCTTGTACGTAGCTGGTAGAATACATAAAGGAGGGATTTTAGGCAGGTTGTGCTGTAATGATGTGAAGTCAAACTTGTAAATAAGGTTTAAATCTGAAATAATGGAAATGTGTACTAATCTGCAGGCCTTTATTTTATCAATGGTATTTTCATTGTACACGCCCTAAATGGAGAATTCGTGCTTATTTCTTAGTTGTAATGCTGGTCTCTGAAGCTCATTGGCTCTTCTGCTGAGGAACTAATTACCTTTAGACTGTGTAATTTAAAATATGTTCAAATGAAATAGGTGAAATAGAGCATCATGACTGGATTCATAAGTGGCTTGGACAGCTAGAGCTGTTTTTAGTCTGAACCCCCACCCCCTTTGGGCAATGAACTGGTACCTGCCTGTAAGACATTCCTCCTAGTACGCTGCTTTTATCATCTGAATAACTTGATTCTGTCTCGCCTGTCCTTTTAATCAAAATCACCACTAAGAAAAGCAGAATGTCTAACTTGTCAGAGAGTCAATTTGACAGCTTGATTGAACTTGCTCAGGTATTCATTAAGTGCCTCTAGAGAGAGCTGGGAGAATGGAGAGGAAAGACTAACAATGCTCTCATTTTTAATGTGCAAAGCATATTTTGTGCATCTCCTGGTATGTGGGGAATGAAACTTGTTTTAGTGCGCAGATGTTTCTGCAGTTGCTAGAACACAGGCAGGATACCTAGAAAGAGTTGCAGGGCTCCAAGGACTGTCACAAACCAGGCCATTGCAGCTAAGTTCATCAGTTAGGCTAAGATGCCACTGCCAGAAGCGGAGGGCCTGAGCCTCCCTGTTTTGCAACTTGCTAAATAATATTTAATCTGTGTCTGTGAATTAGAATGGCTAAGTTACAGGCAGTGTTTTCTGATGGAGTTGAAACTGGATGCTGGAGTAAGTGCTTTGTACTTTCAACAAACTATCATGCATTTTGTTGTAAAAGCACCCCGTATGTTACTCATTAAACCTCTTTAACTTTTGAACTCGCCTTCACCAGCAATTTTGCTTTCTGATTATATATTCTCTTAGGGGAATGGTTTGTTCTACAACAGACTCCTCTGCTGAGGAGTCTGGATCCAGATGTGTGACAAAGACTTGTGTAACTACAATATAAATAACACAGAAGTGTGTTATAAAAAAATAAATCCAATCTGCAGCTTTTTTTTTGCTGTTTCCTATGGCTTTGTAAACATAAATAATGACTCTGTACAGAGCTGTACAAAATACAAGGATTTAAAAAATATCCAGCTGTTCCATGTTGGGTTTCAGTGGATTACTTAATGAGCGAGTCAGATTGCTATATATGCAAAGTAATGTCTGGCTTCTAAGGGCCAGGTACTACAAAGTCACATTGAAACTTTAAAGCAAAGTTTCTCTGTGGCTTCAATGTACATTATTGGTCATAACAGCCAGAATTCAGTTAATAACTCAACGATGTCAGAATCCAGCCCAACTCCAAAATAAAATACAGTTTTGTTGCTTTGCAGCAAGCAAATGTGAATAAAAATAATAAATGCTATTTTTACATTTAAGCCTCTGCAAGTTTAGAGCCTATATTTATGTAGAGCATGTGGGCAGTTTTAATGTGTAAAATTGAGCATATAGACAGGTGTTTGTAAGATCAGGGCAATGGGCACTAAAAATAAAACCAGAACACGTCTGAATAGGATCAAAGAGAATATTGTTAAGTAAATGGGTATCATCTTTATGCATGTGCCTGTTCTAAAATAAGTCCAGGCTCAATAACATCAGTTTAATTTTTAAAATTTCCTCTTAGTCATCTCTTTCTCAATCATCTTTCAAAATCATGTTTTAAAATAAAGTTGCATATTGCATTCCTAAGCTCTTTAGCATGATTTCTGTTTTTGTGGGTTTATTTTTGGTAGAGATAAATCTGATATTGTGACCTACATTTCTTTATTTGAGGCAGCTAGGGATAATACCTCTACCTGTGATTTCTTTCATGCTTTTGCTGAAAGGCATTGTTTTACAATAAATTTTCCAGGTACATGAGATAAGAAGAAAAGAAAGTAACTGCAGATAGTAATTAGAAATACTCAACAGTCTGTGTTCTTCAAAATAATTTAATGAAGTGCTCTGCTCCATAGTGTTATGAGTCATCTTTGGTCTTTGGATCTTTACAGGAATGTGTGTTCATGTGGCCTGATGTGACCAAGCTTCCGTGATACAACTTTTCAAGTGCAAACACTGATGCTGTTTAGGTCATGCTTTGGTCTATCAGATGTTATCTTTCATTAAAATGTTGAGTTATTACTCTGAGCAATATCCAGCGATCTCCTCTTTTCAAAAACACCCTCAGGAGTTGTAAACACATTGATATGTGTCTTCCCAAAACTTTGGCAAGTGATGTTTGGCATTAAAGATACCCAGGTGTGTTTGTCCTCCTTTGGACTGAGTACATGGGTCATGCATAGCTTCATCATCACAAATTGGTCATGCACGAATATAGACAAGGCTGATCTGTCTCTGGCTTTGCGTTAATATCTCTGCTGCAGCCAAGGGGTTTTGAAAGTGAAATCTGGCACTAATTTATGAGAGCAATGTGGGGGAAAAAAAATAGGTCAGCAAGTATGAAAGGTGCTGACAAGCATATAATATCTAGAGATTGTTAAAAATAAAAAAAAAAAAGTCTTAAGATGATCTTTCCAAGTAAGCAAGCTGTTGTGCCTGAGGTTTCCCAGGCATCAGAGGGGGACAGAGGTGAAGTAACTTGCTGGAGGACACATGAGAAGGCTGTGGCAGAACCGGGGAGCAGTTCGGGAATTCAGATTTCCTAATACCACATCCCTTGAAAGGAAACTAACAAAATGGAAATGTGGTTATTTGAGCGGGCTTGTTGCTTAGAAAACTGATCTTTGTTGTTGCACACCCCATTTGTGAATAGATTCAGAACTCGGAGAGGCCACCTTTCTGTGCTAACTCAAGTTTTTCGAACTTTAGCTCTCTAATTTCTGCATATTTAGGGATGAAAAAATTGCATCAGAAAAAGCAGAAATATTAGAAAGTTAGACGCTAAAGTGATAGTGTCTATTTAAAGCATTATCTCGGCATTTATACTCTGCAGCTGAGGTTAGGCTGACGTTGCCTTTCACGAGGCAAGTGGGAGCATGTATCGCAGCAAGAAACATCTGTGCAAACTGCACCGATTCACTAGCTACGAGCACATATGCATTGTGACAGAAGAAAGAGAGTTCTGAAATCACTGTGGTGCTGCTTTCAGTCAAATTGCTAGCATCATCAAAATAACCTTTATGGCACGTGTGAGGCATTGGATCTATGTCTTTCCTAAAATAACCTCCAATTGCTTATGACAGGCTTTTGGGACTTACTGCTGTGACTATTTTTTCCATTTTCCAGGGCTGGGTTTTAAATTTCTATATGCCTTCTCCAATATCTCGATGCTCAGCAGTCAGACCGAGTAGCAGCCAAAATCCTCACCGTAAGTGATGGAAGAGGACAGAGCAGGATCTGATTCTTTTCTCTAGAAGCGATGGATATTTTGATGTTGTAGCTTGCAGCTGAGTTCCTTGCTGGCTGAAAGGAGTGAATATAATTGGCACGGTTTTTACATAGCACCAAAGTACTCCCCGCATTCACTTGCACCTTAAATGAGGGAAATGGGGCTAGGATCCTGGGAATGTTCCTTATCTGGGAGCTTGGGAGAGGGGTTTTCCTACTGACAATGGCCATGGGAGTAGGTTGCTCCTCCTTCCTGTACAAGCTTTTTATTGCCTACATATTTCTTACTTTTCACAGCAACTCTTGCTTTGTTCTTGTTTTCCATTTAGGAGCCGTTCTTCTGCCCACTTGTAAGTGCAACTGGTATGGGTAATGGTGTGAGAGAAGGTCAAGTGGATTTCAGACGGCAGGATGTGGATCCAGTTACATCACCCCATCTCCCATCAGAGGTAAAAGCAGAAGATTGTTTGGTATATGCAGTGGGTTTGAGAGGAGCTGCGTGGCTACTCTCCAAAGGAAGCATCTCAGCGGGATTTGAGCTGCGGAGTCTTGAAAAAGCTGTAGTGTGTGTGCAAGCCACATAACCTGTTACTTTTGGTTTCTCTAAGGGCAGCCAAGCAGTCCTAGCCCTCTGGGAGGAGGGCTGCATTAGACAGGCATGCAGGGCTGCGTTCCCTGTTCAAGGTTATGTCTTGGTATGTCTTCAGTGGCAGAGTTGGGAAGGGAGCCATAAGTCTTGGTTTCCCTGCTCTTGCTGCTGTTGCTAGACTCTTGTTAGAAACACTGGAAGATAAGGTGACACTGAACCTTGGTCTGATTTGGACCAAAACTCAGGCTTAAGTTCACACAGTGCTGCCTTTGCATGGCTACCCTTGCATTTAGCACCAGGCAGGCAGAGATTGGAAGGGTAAGATTGAACTGAACCATGTATTTTGGTAATAAACATTAACTTCTTAGTTGTGAAATATTCTGAAAAAAGAAAAATGTTAACTCCTCTTCTCCATGAAAACACACAGCATGTCAAAAGTTAACGTTCTTAAGTCTTGTCTTGACTTGTCTTTCAGTCCGTAACCTTCACGGTGTTAGATTTCAAGTCATTTACTTGCTTTCTGCCCATGTGTTACCAGAAGATAGCTGTTTTATAAATATGAGCTGTGGCAAGAATGTCAATAACAAAACCACTTTTGTTCCATTTATCATAATAGGAAACCTGTCTTGTTTTATTCTTAGGATCTTGGGAACAATGTGGAAACAGGACTTGTGTGTTGCTGGAAGGGCAAGAAAGAGACTTGCCTTCTCTGTATGCCTGAATCACGAGGAGGTAGAGGCTTAGCTTTTAGGAATCTTAATAGGGAGAAAACAGTACATGTAAGAGGTGGCAGACCTTGAAACTTTGCTTCTTGGTAGACAAGTCTAATCTTTGTGCTTTATGATCTGACCAGGAATTTACTATGCTTGAAATTTTGAAGATAATTTTGACCCAAGTCTTTGAGAGAGGGGATAAATGCTGCAGCAAAGGTAAAATATTATAACTTTTGCTTAGGAATGACTGTGTCATGCTGAACAATGCTTTGTTCCAGGATAGCCAGGAGAAAAAGAAAGTGCTCAACTCCCTGATGTCTGGTGCATTGGCTGGTGCTGTTGCGAAAACTGCAGTAGCTCCACTGGATAGGACAAAAATCATGTTTCAAGGTGAGTCCTGTTGGCTTTTGCAAAATGCTCTTACTTTATTGTTAGCAGAATCCAAAACAGCTTCTTTGACCTGTTCAGTCAGCCAGTGCTCCAGTGCTTTGCCCTCCTTCAGCCTGCAGAGACCTGGCAGGATGCAGACAGAATAGTGACGTTACCACAATGAATTGAGTCTAAAAACCTATTGTTTGATTCTTGGTAGGATTACTGCAGGTGCCAATCAGCTGTGCATCTGGCCTGTACTATTGGATCCAAGTCTCATGGTAGTCAGCTAGAGTTTTGCTATTTCAGTGTATTTCGGGTGCATGTATTGCTGGTTAGAGACAGATGCCTGTGGCTCATGAATGTTTGCTGGCCACATGGATTCTGTGACATAAAGGCAGCATTTGAGGGGATGATTGGTAACACTCTGGATTTCTGTGTCTGTTCAGTTTGGGGAAATAAGGTGGAGGAGGGGAAAGGAGCAATATAAGGAGATATGGTGACACTGGAGGGAGGTAATTGAACTGTTTGAGTTACTTGCTAAAGGCTGGATGCCAAGCTGTGCCTGCTCAAATGTGTGCAGTCTTTTCTACTAAGAGTTGCATTGTATTGCAGCTGGACTGTTTTGGTTAGGCTTGAAGTTAATAATGACAAGTACTGCAAGAGGCGTTGAGGCTGGCATACCTAGATTTGTATTACAAAGCCCTTTTTGGAACCCGTAGAGTGTGTAACTGAAAATGAAATTCATCTGATTGGAATAGAAAATTCTCATGTGTTTGGCGGGATTTGGGATTCAGGCCCATCATGGGCTTTGTTCAGTTCCCCTGTTTCAGCGCGGGAACTGTCAGCTCACTAATTGTCCCAAAGGGAAGAGTGCAGGCTGATAATACAGTAGATATTTGGTGAGTCCAAGAATTTTAAATCTGGTTGACATCCCAGATTAAATGAATTGGGTAGGTTTAATCTAATCCCTGGATGACATTTAATTTTGAACTGACTTTCATTTGACATGATTTTCATTCTCAACATAGCAGGAATAGCGGGGATATAGATCAGGGAGTTCAAGCTGTAGGGAGCTAAAGCCTGGGCTGGCTGCAGGCGGGGATTGTGTCTGTGACCAGATGCTTGTGCAGCGATGAGTACGCGCTGTGCTTCCTCTCCAGAACAAACACTGTGGTTCATCTCAGGTTGGAAATGTCAGGATCAGAGGTGAGGTGGAAACTGCAGCACTGGGGTGAGTCAACAGCTGCCCGTATAAATCACTTTTAATTTGTACAGGCCTACATTTAGAGAGACCTGTTTGGTTTGGCCCGTTAAACTCTCTGCAAAGGATATGATTAAATTATGGCCCATGCTGAAAAATTTCTGAGTATCTAATGGATTTCTTAGGCTTTTGCTCTCTTAAAGGTTTTTACTCTGGGGCCTCTTCCCTGTCTGTGAAGAGGGAAAGCATCTTTGGGTCACGTAAGTGTAGGAAGGTTGTCCCTTGAACTAGAGACTGAAGAATTTTCCTGTGGGAGAGGGAAAAGAGCTCTTTTCCATGGCAGAGCCAGCTGCAATGGGTTACTGGGGTGGTTTTATTTCTGAAAGAAGTGTTGAATTGCATAAAGGAGCACCGTGGTGAAAACGTATTTGCATGGGATTGTTTGATACACTTGAGAGGTTACAAGTCTCAAAGGAGTTTGAAAGAAACTGCAATAGACACTTAATTGGAACCATGTTTCATTAGCGTTGCTGTTCGGGTTTTAGCCTGGGTTTCCTTTCTGCTGTAGGAATGTTACGAAACAGAGCTGCTGTATGCCAAATAAATCTTGCTTCCAAATGCCTTGTGTATTACATAGTTAAAGAGATGCTGTCAGTTTGAATGGATGCAAGAAAAGAAACGGAGTGTTCATTTGAGTTTTGCTAGGATGAAACCATTCTTGCGTGGAGCCTCACTAAACAGGCCCGTTCTTCGCTGGATTCTGGCATTAGGCTGGAAGCTGTGCATGGAAATGCTCTACTAAAATAAGTGGTTGGTGCAGGATTTTTTTTTTAATATTTTTTGTTTATCGTTTATTTTTAGCACTTCTTAAAGTGTGTCAGAAACTGAACGTTTTCATAACAGTAGGTGGAAAAATGAACTTATGTGCTAAAGAGTTTGGGAGCACTTACCAGTGGAAAGTCTTTGTTTATTATAAAGAATCTCTATTCTTTTCCTTCTATTTTTATCCCTTAGATAAAATGCCTGTATGGTTTATTTGATCCATCTAAATGTATTGCAAGACCTAATGCTAATTTTTTCTTTTTAGTGTCTTCAAAAAGATTTTCTGCCAAGGTGAGGTGATGTGTCTGTCTCCTGTTGACCTGAAGTGTTTGGCTAATGGTAGTAATAGCCCTAACAGCATCTTTTGTTTGTATTTATTTAACTTTCTTGCCTGGGTTTTATTAGCAGCACTCCTAGTGAAAGAACATAGAGGGAAAGACTGGAAACAGTTTATAAGATTGCTTAGGACAGTGCTCTTTTGCATTCATGTCTTTGTCCAGTGCCTAGCACAGAGCAGCCTTGGTCCTCATTCATACTCCAGGCTCTACCTGTGACATGACAGTAAATGTTGTGGCATCAACCAGGGCTTTGTTTTCTTAAGCCTTCTGCTCTAGTAGTTGTTTTCTTTCCCCCAACCACCACTGGGGTTGTTTCCGAGTATACAGGAAATTTGAATCTGGGTGCTGATCATTATTGTGGCGTGCTGAATGTTTTGTTGCGTGAGCATTACGGCTGTTCTATCCATGCTGTGCTAATACGTGTAATCCAAATGTTTCTGTCTTATACTGAGACGATTAATTTGGGTTGAGAGATGGTTTGTGCAAACATCAATCCAGCTCTGTGACTTGCCCTCAGAGAGAAAATTAAGATGTCTTGAACGTAAAACTCTGTCTTCCTGACTCTGGTTCTTTTTCGTTCTAACTTATCTGATTCAGTCTCCCCAGAGAAGACATTTTAGTTGTCTTATTCTGGAGTCAGGGTTGCGAGCATAAACAGCTGGTATCAGTTTAGTGTGGTTGGGGTGGGAAGGAGGACTTGGAGAGGTTAAGCTGCAGGGTCACCTTTTCCCCCTCTATTGTTTGGACTCCCTCTTATCATGATCTCCCTGTCTGACCTTTGATCTGTTGCCTGCAGGAAGCCTACAGGCTGATTTATCGCACCTACCTCAATGAAGGCTTCTGGAGTCTCTGGCGGGGGAACTCAGCCACCATGGTCCGTGTGATCCCTTACGCTGCCATCCAGTTCTGTGCGCACGAAGAGTACAAGCAACTCCTGGGGAGTTACTACGGCTTCCAGGGAAAGTAAGACGCATCGTGGCTTTGATCCTTGGAGAGGAGGATGGAGCAGTTTGTGGGACCATAGACTGTAGGGAGGGAGCACGTTTCTCTGCTTTGTGCAGGCCTGCTGAGTTGAAAGCTCTGTTGGTAGAGTTGTGCCGGCCCCTCTTATGATGGCTTGGCAGAACAGGGTGTGTGAGGGGGCTAAGCAAAGGGCTGGGCTTCTAGTCTGGCACAGGGGAAATCTTTGTCAGAAGAAGACTCTGTCTTCCAGAGGCGTGAGCAAGAAGTGGCCTAGACATTGAGTTAGCGCTTCCCTGTGCTGAGAGTGGGCAGGCAAAACAAAGGGCCTTTCTTTGCAGGAGAAGCAACAAGATCCAGCCTTGTGCTGTTATCTGAGCTCTGTGTGTGGCCTGAGCCTCCTGCTCTTGGGCATATAAAGTCTGAGACACCCCAAGTCAGGCTTGCTGTCCTCCACAGATTTTCTCTAAGCCTGTGTCTTGAATGGCTGTGGCAACCCACAGCTACTTCAACCCCCACCCACCCAACTCTTTTCAGTACACAGGCAGGGAAGGGATTCAGTAGCAGATAGAGTAGAGCCATGCTCAAAAGCCACGTAGTATTTCCATCTCCAGGTGATCTGTTTGGTCTCTTCTCTCACCTTACTTTAGAGCGCTGACACCCTTTCCTCGATTCATTGCTGGCTCTCTGGCAGGCACAACGGCTGCCATGTTAACCTACCCCTTGGATATGGTCCGTGCTCGAATGGCTGTCACGCCGAAGGAGATGTAAGTGCCTAACAAAAGCAAGTACAAGCACCACGAACAAATGCAGAACTTTCTTTTAAGGTCAGATGACTTTATTCCCATTTTCTGGGTCACTTCTTGCTCGGAGCCTTTGGTGTAATAAACATCTTACTGCTGGGGTCTGAGCACTGATTAAATGACCAGAGCTCTGGTTAGTCCAGGGGCCGGAAGGAGATTGATACTGAAAGACGTCACTAGTAAAACCTGTGTGTTGGTTCTTTAGGAGGCCAGCTGGCACAATGCCTCCAGAAGAGCTCTAACAGACAGGATAGCATGCTGTGGTAGGGCTATAGGAGAGCTGATGACTGGCATCTCCATTTGCAGACAGGCTTCTGAAATCCCTTCTGAGCTGTTAGAGGAGCTCAAAGCCGAATTAATTAATTGTTGATCCTTCAGAAAGTCCTGTTGGAAATACTACTGGTGTATGCAGTCACTAACCAGCACAGATTTGCTTTTCCTGTGTCCACATGCTAGGTACAGCAATATCGTTCATGTCTTCATCCGAATATCCCGAGAGGAAGGATTGAAGACGTTGTATAGAGGATTTACACCTACTATCCTTGGAGTGATTCCGTATGCTGGGCTTAGCTTCTTCACCTATGAGACACTGAAGAAATTACATGCAGGTAAAGGCAACTCAGTTTGCTTTCAAATGAAATAGTGGAGGCTTTTGGCTAACTTGAGATGTTAGAATTCAGTGGTGCAGGTCCTTTCCTGGGCCTTGAAGCCAAATGCAAAGTTCTGTGCTTGTGGAAGATGCCTTGTGCCTCCCTCTCTACAATCCCAGACTATGAAGAAGGCAAGCTGGAGGAATGCAGTATTTCTGTCTCACAGAAGAACGAGAAGGTGCAAGTCTGGGTGCAGAAGGACTTGGTTACATACCAAGTCAGCTAACAATCCAGTTGGGAACAAAATCTCAGGAGCTCTCCTCTTTTTGGCTCTCAGCCTGCCTGACCTTAATCACGTGTTTATTACGAGAAGCTTTTTACACTCTGCTACTTTCTCTTTCCCAGATCACAGTGGGAAATTACAGCCATCCCCTCCAGAGCGGCTTTTGTTTGGTGCCTGTGCAGGCTTGATTGGCCAGTCAGCTTCTTACCCCCTGGATGTGGTTCGCCGACGAATGCAGACGGCGGGGGTTATGGGACACACGTACAGTTCCATCCTTCTCACCATGCAGGAGATTATAAGAGAAGAGGGACTAATCCGTGGCTTGTACAAAGGACTCAGCATGAACTGGGTCAAAGGTCCAATTGCAGTGGGAATAAGCTTCACAACCTTTGACCTGACGCAGATCCTTCTCCGTAAATTACAGCACAGCACTAATGTTGAAAGGTAGTAGCTTAATCCCCACAGCCCTTGCTGGGGAAAAGTATAACATGTGTAGAAAGAGCAATGCTAGTGTTCCCTCACTTTGTACATGCTCTCCTGCAGCTGAGAACTTACCTTTATTGTTTGTTTGTTTGTTTTTTCTGTTGTTGGATTTTTGTTCTTTTTAATGAGCCTTTGAGTTATTTGGAAACCTCAACCTGAAACTATTTCCTAAACAAAATTCTTCTTGCGATTCTGCAGAACTGAGTCCTCTAAAGTAGCTGCCTCACCTTTCTGTATTACTCTTTGATACCAGGAGTGGAGCCTCTCAAACAAACATGTGCTGCTGCTGGCTCCTCACCTGGTCTCTGTGGGCAGATGAAGCAGTAGATGATGAAAGAGAGGACTTGGTGCTGCTGGAATGAACCCCTGGATCTGGGAAGTGACTGCTGCTCCTGGTAGGCAGTTTTTAGTTACTGAACATGTGTTAGCTGGAGGCAGTCTGCCAAGTGCAATATTCCAGTTAGTCTGTAGGGAATTCCAGATTCCTCTGACCTATGAGCATCGGTCTCCTTAAAACAGGACGCAGCAGGATTTAACAGGTCCAGGTCACTTCATTTGTTCTGGAAGTTGAATGTGAGCTCCAGCTGGAAATGCTGCCCTTTTTCAAATGTTCTTCTCATTTCTGGGTTGAGTTACGTAAAATATCCCTTGCTTGCAATGTCCCTCTGAGATTACCAAAGACTGTAGACAGCAGAGGAGGAAAGTTCTGAGCGGTTTTGTAAATCAAATTCTCATGTTTGTCGTCAGTGTTGTTGAGTAGGGGCTGTGCCTGGATTCACAAACTGGATTGAATGGAACTGCAGTAGTGCTTTTGGGCTACCCAAACCCTTCCGTTGTTGTCATGGTCTTAAAGGCAGTGTTTTCTGAGGGATTTGGCAGACTGTAGCGTTGTCGTGGTTTAACTCCTCAGATTTTAAGTATGTAACTTTTCTAGTGCATTAAGCAGTTTTATCCTTCAGTATTATTGTTGCCGCTTTATGCACGATGCAAGAACAAACATCTCAGATGCACGTGTGATGCAGACTTAGCTATCCTGAAAGGCTGGTCGTGTCTGGTGAATGCAGCCTAGTAGTTGACTCAAGCTGCTGGCCCTGCTTCTGAACAACTTTGTTGTCTTCTGGCGCCTGCTGTGTAGGTTGTCACCTCAGTTCACCAGTCCACACCTAAGCCCACTTGCTTTTATTCACAGACTTCTTCTGGACCAACCAAGTGCTTGGGAGAATGGGCACCACAGCCAGTATTGACCCTTCAGAAATTACATATAGTGCCAATCATTTCCAGTTGCAATTTGAAAACGAATGGTAAATGGTAGCTTTTGGTGTTTCTATTTCAAATTAGTTTTCAGGGGAGTGGAGATTTGGAGGTGGTTTTGTTTTATGTTCCATTCCCATATTAAATTTGGAGTGCAAGAGAGGTCGGAACAATCTTTAGACTTCTCTGAGAATCAGGTTACATAAACCAAGATTAAAAATCCCTTTTCAGCCAATAGAGTCTGTAATGTATAGAAGAAAAATAAGGCATAATTTAAAAGCTGTCCTTTTCCGGTGTATGTATTTTAGCCATTGTATTTTGAGCCTTGTGTCATGGCTTTATTAATGGGAATGGAGGTAATTGCACAATTGGTAGAAATAGCTTTCTCCTTTCTTTTGTCTTTGCACTTGTTCTTTGGAGCGTAACTTGCTTCTAATGCCAAATATTTCCCTAGCAATTGAGCACCTACACTTCCATTTTGTGGACATGGCAGAGAGCCAGCATACTGAAGTATTAGTTTGCGTGTTGTTCCCAGAACACATGGGATTGATCACACTTTAATGCTTGTGGATGCGCAGGGTATTAACCTCAGTAGTTTCTGCCTCCAAGCCCACAAATGATAATTTCCGTTGTGAAACTTAACTGCAGTCACTGATTTACCTTGTAATTAAAGAGATGTTAGGTGGTGGTGTTTTAAGAGTCTTTAGCAATGATAGCCATGAATTCTGTATATTTTTTGCTCCCATTGCTAATGGAAGATGATTAGATGTTCTCTTCATTTGGGTGAAATTTTGTTTAGTCGTTTGCAAGAGCTCTGATTTCTTTTCTCCAATGGAGAAGCCAATTACTTCTGCTCTTGTCTTTGTCTTCTCTGGCCCAGTGAGGAAATACTGAGGCAATTGCATCCTACCACAAAAGTGAGGTACAGACCAGCAACTAGGTGTGTCAGCAGCTGACTGTGCGTACGTGCGTGTCTGTGCGTCTGGCTGTGTGGACAATCCATGCCAAGTTCTCTCTCAGCTTGGAGGCTGCCGGTTCAAAGCACAGTCCTTTCTGCACAGCCAATGAGCGCTACGTGAAGACGAGAGGAACCTGAACTGTGGCATCCAGGTTTAGAGCAGGCTCCTTCACTCCACAGTACAGTAGGTCATCTCAGAGGCAAGTGCAGCAGACCCTGTCGTATGAGATGTTGAGCATCATTGAACCCCTGTGGCAACAGAGGTGGCTTAATTCCTCCTGGGTCCTGACCGAGAAAGGATTTACACTGGATGACTAGCCTCTTGTTTGGGACTGAATGGGAGGGCAGATCTGCACAGGCAACCTTCTGCCACATCAGGAGTGCAGCTAGGATATTAAACAACTGGGAAGCCTGCAAAGGAGGCAGCTTCTGGCTGGCTGACCCTGGCATCGTCCTCCTTGCAGGCGAAGTGCTGTGCAGGCAGCTCATCTGGAGCCTGGGGATTCTGAGCTGAAAAACAAGACCTGAAGCACAGCCAGACTTGGAAGCATTGGGCTCAGAGAAGTTGTTCCTTAATTAGCAGCTGCACCTGATCTTAATTCAGTGGAATTTTGGCCAAATGTGTTTTTCTAAGTTTTGCAGGCTGAGTGTTTGTTCAGAGACAGATCTTTGAATCCAGTCTGTAATGGTTTTGGTGCTTTTGTTTCTTGGGTAAAAGTGTTACTGCTATGGGTTGTTTTAAATAGGTGGTGTTTTGGTTTTTGTTTTTTTGTTGTTTTTTTTTTTTCCTTCTCTGATTTGAATGTAGAAAAGGAGAAACAGAGTGTTCTCTTCCCTTCTCTTAATCCTTGCATGAATTGAGATGTGTTCCAGATCTCTCTGCTGCCTGGAATGAGTGCCTGAGGAGTTTTAGGCATGCTGATTTGGGAGGGGAGGGTGCTGGTGTGCTGGCCAAGAAGGTCCATTGCCTTTAGCTCTGAGAAAGGAGACAAGTCTAACAGGAATATTCTGTAGTCCTTCTTTTATTTAGAACTTCTTCACTACTGCAAATTCTCCAATTTTTAATTTTATTCTTACCAAGTTCCTTGCTTTTATTTTCAAGTCAGGTTTCTCATTGTTCCTTAATGCGCTACTGCCAAACATTCAATTGTGCTTTTTTTTCTCACGTACTCTCCTTCCCTCCTTGTCTCTGCACCTTTAGTCCTGCACTAGCACTTCAAGAAAATCAGGTCCAATGAAATGCATCCAAAATGACAAAATTGCCACTTCAATAGCAATGCCCAAACAGCCCAACTAGGCTTCCCACTTACAGGCGGGGATGCTTTGGGCGGGGGCCAAGAAGTTAAAGGCACTAGGTGATGGGGCAGAATGTTTTCTTGGAAGGTTCTTAAACTACTTGTCCAGCCTAGCGCCTTCACTTCTCCTAGCACCTTCCCTTTACAAGCTGTGAAATGCTGCTGCTGCTTGTCCTTTCTTCTTTGGGTACCTCCATGTGATGCCCGCTTGCTCTGTGGAAGGGGCTGCTTGCTGGGTCGGTGGCTCGGGGAGAGCTTGTCCTTCTGGGAGGCTCAGAGGGTCAGTTCGGGAACTTGAATATGTGAGAGGTGGGACCTGAGCTGGCTCCTTGCAAACCCCTTGGCCCTGCGTGGCCTGTGCAGACCTCTGCTGCTTCCCCAGGAAGGCAGAGCTGCTGAAGAGCCGGCTGGGGGTTGGCAGGATGGTGGTGGAAGGATCAGGAGAGGAGTCACAGCCTCCCGAGGCATGAAGTCACTGAAAGCCCACGGGGTGGGTAGTGTGGTGTGGCACTGGTACTCTGTGGGAGCTCTCCAAAAGCAGTTTCACACCTTCTGTGGGAAATTAGTGGTACTTCTGTTAACTTCGTATTGCCTTCCTCCTGGAAGGATTCGAGCACTGTCATCTTCACCCTCTGGTGTCTTTAACACAAAAGCAGATGAGGCACAAAAGGAAACTTTGAGCAGAGGCACTGTGGCAACCCCGAGCAAGTCTGGTGCCAGTCCTGGGCGGGCAGGAGGAGGACGGAATGCGGTGGGATATTTCCCATGCCGTTTCCCCAGTGCCTGACTGGGGCTCTGCAGTATGTGACAGACCCTCCCCACCCGGACTGGGCCAGAGGAGGAGGTGGCCTTCCTACAAAACAGCCTTTTCTTTTTTTTGTTTTTATTGTAGGGGCTGATTCCTCCCGCTACCCCTGTCTCCCCCTTAAATGCCATGTGATGCAGGGTTTCCCAGCACTGTTCACTGCCTGTGTGGTCTATGCATATATTAGCACAAACACTGTTAAATGCCTTTTGTCAAGACTTGTCCTCACCATCAATGTGTGCGTGTATGTGTGTGTGTCAATTTTGACTGCTTTTCTTGGATCTGGAGTTCTATTTTATTGCAGTGAAGACACTTTGTTATATAATGTTTATATATTTTAAGATTTGTGCCAAGAGAGGATGTATATTTAATAAAAAATATAATTGACTTTGCAGGCTCTCTGAGGGTGCCTCCTATTCTACATGGCTCATACGAGAGAGGGGCCTGACACATTTAGGTAGATTTATTGAGGGACTAAATATGGGGGTGTCTGGGTGTACCTCCTCCGGGGCTCGCTGTGTCCCCCACCACGCAGGTCCCTTGTGCACCGAGCACCTTCCAAAGCACACGGGTTGGTGCTTTGGGCTTTGCGTGGAAGTGGGGAGAAGCTTGCAGGAAGGAAAGCAACTCTGGAGACGGCTCAAAACCTGGGCTTGCTCCAGAGGAGGCCTGTGCTGTCCCCGTCCCCAGCGCCGCAGTGCGGGACGGGGACGGGTGTGCAATGGCAGCAGGTGGCACTGTCGGCTCAGGCATGGCCCAGCAGCTTCCCCCGAAGTTGGGGACCCCTGGCTGCTGCTCAGCCCTGCTCGGCTCTTGGGGCTTTCAGCTGCATTTTGGGCTGAGTGTGGATGTGCCTCCGTAAGGCCTTGCAGGGCAGGACGGTCTCAGCGGTGAGGACAGGTCCAGCCCCTCCGCGAGGAACCTCCCTGCAAGGCAGGGCAAGAGCCCACGTCCTGCTTGTACCCCAAGAGAAGCTGCAACTGGCACCAGACCTTGCAGGAAGCTGATGGCAGAGCAGGAGAACAGTCCCTGGACCAGCTGCCTCTCATCCCCATTGGTCCCGACCCCTACCTTTGGCTTCCTGGCTCCCGGGGTGCAGGGAAGCATCCCCCTGGCTTGGTTTTTGGGCTGCCAGCTACGGTGTGAGCTGTGATTTTAGCAATTTCCCGCAGCTCTAAGCAGGAACAACACTGCAGGCAGTAAGGATGGCAAGGGGAATCTCATTTTGGGTAGAATTGGGGTGGGAAGGCAGGGCTCGCTGCTTCCCTCCCTGCCAGGGCATGACAGAAGATCTCTAGGAGCTGCTGCAATCCAAGCCCTCTCCCCACCCTGTGGTTTCTCACCAAGTGTGGCTCCGTGGCCACTGAAGGGGAGCAGAGGGGATTCGAGGCCGGATCCTGGGTCGCAGCAGGGCCTCGTGGTGCCAGGCTGAATCCTGGTGCCAGCGGAGCCTCCGCAGCAACAAAACCTCCTGGTCCCAGCTGCTCCCCTCTGCTGAGAGCCTGAGCGTGGCCCTTGGCAGAGCCCAGCCTGTACTGTATTCTAAATAAAGCGAAGATACAAAGAGTAAAAATAATTCTGGGGAGAGGAAGATGGGGGGGGTCTTTCATTTTATTTGATGTGGCCCAATTTCAGTGCCTGTGGATCTGTCTCCTGCTCTTGGCTAGTCTATCAGTCATTGTCCCCGCCTGAGAGGGTCACGTCTGGGCAGATCTCAGGGGAGGAACTGTCTGCATGTCTGAATGCAGCACAACCCCCGGCCCTAGCAACCGTCCTCCTGCCTCGAAGGCTTCCCTGCCAGCTCAGCCCCCGGCTGCTTCCTCCACATGCTTAAGGAAAATTAGATAAATGAGCCATCAAGGCAGTCGGACTAGCTTTTAATGGGACAGCGCAGGCTGGAACAAGTCCCTTCTGCATTCTGGCCCTGGGGGACTCACTTCTTCGCCTTTCCACCCACATCTTGGTGACAGTGCTGCTGGAGCTGAATTCCTCCTGGCTCTGGTTTCCCCAGTTGTTTGCAAAAGGGAAATTTCCCCATCATTTTTCACAAAAGGGCTTTTAGTGCATCCGAAGCTTGGGAAGTCAGGAGCCAGGCAGAGGGGGGCTGTCTGGATTAGCCCTGTTAACACCGGGCAAGGGGCTGCCTTCTCATCTGGGCCCTTAGCAAGAGGGAATTAAGACCATTACAAGGCTATCAAATAGGATCAGAGCCCCTCTCCCTTTCTCTGAGCAGCCCAGACCTGCTAATCCTTTTTCATGGAGCTGGACCAGCACCCACCGTGCGGTGGGGGAGAGCTCAGCTGAGATGGACAAGGGGCTGCGTCCCCCTCCCCTGCAGCCCCTGTTGGGCTGGGGGAAGAGCCAGGATCAGGCACCAAGTTGGGCTGTGATGGGGTGAAGGTGAGGGCAATGAGACCAGGCTGCAGGATTTGTTAGGTGCTCAGCCTCTTACCCTTGTCACAATAATGCATACGGAGCTTCACTGCTCCCCCCGCCCCCTGCCCTGCTCGAGGGGCTTCAGGGCTGCAAAGTGCAAACAAAGCAGCAGCTTTTGGAAGGGCAAACAGACTCTGGGTTATTTATTTCTAAACCAGCCAACAGCTGAGGCTGCTGGGCCTGAGGATTTCACATGAAGCAGAGGGATGACCCCAAGGAGCTCTAACCCAGCTGGCCAGAGCAAAAAAACACTTGCCCTGAGCCAACGGAGGCAAACGGTAGGCAGAGCAAACCCCAAAGCCTGTGCTGGCAAGCCAAGCTGCTGCTCCAACCCAGCTGGGAGGTCTCCACCATGCAAGGGTGATCGCCACCACGTCCTCTGCCCAGCACGTACGGCCCGGGGCTGGCAGGAGCCACTGCCCTCCAGGAAACACAAGTTGCAGAGTGTCCCCACGTTCAGGGCTTCGGCTCCTCCGTCACTGTGCAGGGAAGGGGAAGAGGGGCTGGAGAGACGCAGCCCGGGGCGGCAGCAGGGTGAGAGCAGGCACGGTGGTGATCGGCAGCGGGAGCAGGCGATGCCCGTGCTGGCCCGGATGCAAGAAACCCATCAAGCTGAGAGCTGGTGGCAGAAATATCCCCACGTCCGTGTCCACGTGTGCCACCAGCATGTGCAAAGGGGGAAACCAGCCAAGGCAGGAGCAAGGGGACCAGCAGCTGAGTGCTGACTGCGCCCCAAGGCATGTCCCAGCTCCCCCCAGTCAGGAGGCTGCCAGGTACTGGTGGAAGTAGAGGCCGAAGAGGCTGGTGACGACCTGGCAAGCGGCCACCCACCAGGTGAGGAAGGCGAAGAGTCCGCGGAAGAAGAGGGGGGTGAAGGTGCCGCTCAGGACGCCTGTGATCTGCTCCACCGCCGCACGCACATCCTCCTTGTCCTCGGCGCCGGGCTGCGGCAGCGCTGCGGCCGCTGCCGGAGGGAGGGCAGGGGGCTCCGGGTACAACCCCCACGAGTGGTGCCCTGAGTGACAGAGGGGACAGGTCTGCAAGGGGGGGGGGGGGGGGGGGGGGGGTCAGTCCCCACGCTGCAGCCCCCATCCCCGGGCTACAGCCACGCTGAGTCCCAGCACACTCGCTGCACGCATTAGGTTCGTGCCCACCGCAAACCGTGTCTTGAGAGCTCGGGGCTGCCTCGGATGTCGATGGCCTGGCGATGACTTGCAGGTCTCATCCTGCCCCTCCTGAGCCCCCGAGTTCCCCGCATTCACCCCACCTCCTCCTTACCCAGCGTCTTGAGCAGCAGCGTGCAGTGGAGGGTGAGGATGACGGGTCCCAGGTACTGCAGGCTGACCACGGAGATGTAGCAGTAAATCCTCGTGATCTGTGGGCAGCGGGGATCAGCTGGAGCCCGGCGGCTGTGCCCGGACCCCCCAGCTCCCATCCCAGCTCCCTCCTCCAGACCTTGCGCTGGATCTCCAGGACGGCGATGCGCCCGGCTTCCTTCCTCATCTGCTCCACCCAGCGCTCGGCCAGGCCCAGGTACGCCTGGAGGTGATGGCGGGTGACGGCCAAGCGCAGCAGGCAGAGGCCGATGACGGTCCAGAGGCGCGCGGTGTTGTAGGCAGAGTCTGACATGCTGGGGCAATTAGAGGGGGCTGTCAGGGAGATCTCGGGGTCCAGAGCCCCCCTGCGCCCTGCAGGGTGTCTGATGGGAGAGGTGGTGGTGGTGGTGGGGAGGATGAGGGGCTACTGGTGTTGGAGGAGGTGGATCGGTGCACCCCGTGCCTCAGTTTCCCCTTGAAGCAAGGATGCAGAGTTGGACCCACAGCCTGCGCCCCACTTACATCTGCACTGTCTGCTTGCCCATGGGGGCGTGGAGCAGGAAGTCCCGCGAGATGGGCTTGATCCACATCACCACCACGAGGACGGGCGCCAGGAAACTCAGGTGGAGCAGGACCCTGCAGCAGAGCTGTCAGAGACCCCCACGCAGCCTGGTGCCCCCCGCTCCCTCCATCCCTCCACAGGCAGGGCCTGGTCCTCACCTGTACCCCCCAAAACCCTCTCCCAACCCAGCAAACCTCCTCACCGCCCTGCAGTTACAGAGCCGGGGGAGGTCCTGGCCCCCTCGAGATGCCAGCACTGACCCCCTCGCCTCCTTCCCCACCCGCAGATTTCACCCAACTGGGTCAGGGGCTTGTCAGCTGCCATCCGGAGAGCGTCGAGGTGCGTCTGGGCCAGGCGCAGCCCCGGGAAGGTCAGGCAGGCGCCCAGGAAGGAGCACAGGGCCACCAGCCCCAGCTTGAAGGCCAGCTTGGCGAGGGGCAGCCTGCAGAGAGAGAAGGTAGCACAGGGAGGGGGGAACGGGTCAGCCCCATCCCTGGTGAACCCCAGAGGGGTTTCCATCCCCAACCTCCAAAAAACCTCCTGAAAACCTCATTTCCCTCCCTGCCCAGTCGTCAACTCACGTCCACTCCCAGCCCCGCCGCTTCAAGATGCTCTCCAGGTTGCTGCTGACGCTGGCCAGCCCTGTGGGGAGTGACCCCGCCATAAGTGGGGTGCCCACAGCCCCTTGGGACCACCTCTCCCTGTCCCCCCTCACCCACCAGGCTCGAGGCCAAACTCCAGGTAGTCCTCACGGATGACCAGGGCCACCATGGCAAGGAGGAGGAAGAAGAAGGCGAAGGTGAGGCAGACGGAGCGCTCACCCCCTTCCTCTGAGCGGAAGTAATGGCGCATCACCATGAAGAAGACCTTGCTGCAGGCAAGAGGTAGCCGTCAAGGAAAGCGGGAGCTTCAGGACCCTCCCCAATGCCAGCAGGACACTCCTGCTCATTAGCACGTCATAAAGCATCCCTGTCATTAGGCCACTGCCACCTTCTCTGCGGGGAAGGCTCTCGTACGGCACCTTTACAGCTCGTCAGTGCGTGGTTTGTAAACCCATAAATTTAAGTTTTCCACCTCAACTGGCTTCTCATGGAGAAAAACCAAGGACGGGGGGTTCCCTCTCCTGCCCACAGGCAGCCTGGACCCGGTGAGAGGTGGCAATCGCACCCCAAAACTCAGCAGAAGGATACACAGAGAAGACGACTGTGAGCAGGCACCAGAGCACCCCGATGTTCATCTCCTTCTGGGGGTCTGCCAGGCAGTAGTAGCCCTCGGTGAAAATGTACACAGCGGTGGAGTAGACGGCAAAATCCACAAACCACTGGTAGTCCAGGAAATAACGCAGCACTGGTGTGACAGAGGGACACGTCACTGTGCTGTGGGGACCCACGGGAGGTCCCCGGCATGGCCAGGGGTCCCCAAGTCCAGGGCAATGTGGGGTCCTGCGTGCCGAGGGAGCGGTGGGTGCGCGGGGGGTTACCGAGAGCATCCACGGCAGTGATGGGGGTGGTGTCCAGGCGGAGGTCGATGTCCCGGGGCACGGAGAGGGGCTTGTCATCCATGACGCCGTTCACCCTCCTGCAAGGGAAACCTGGGCTCAGGATGGCGGGCAAAGAGCTGGCTTGTCCCTTATGTGTGCCAAAAGCCCCTTTGGGGGGGGCTTAACGTCCCCAGCTCGGGGTTTCTTGTCACCAGCCCCGAGCCTGTCTGGGGGCAAGGCTGTCACTGCCGCACCTCCCCAGGAGAGTCCCGCAGCACACCGGGACGACTTCCATTGTCACCGAAATGAAATATTTATCGTTTTAGGTCCCTCCTGCCCGCCGGACCAGTGGGTGTGAGCTGAGCTGACCTGTCCCGCTTGGTCTTGGGGCGCTGCTTGCCTGCCAGGGCGCAGAGCTCCTCGTCCGAGGGGTGCTTGTAGCGGTGCAGGCTAGAGGGGAGCAGTCGGGTGTCAGCGGTGCCGGGTGTCCCCGAGGCCCCATGGGGACGGGCAGGGAGGGACAAGCCACGTACCTGCCATTGCAGAGCAGCCAGCGAGCGAAGGAGCAGTGCGGGGCCATCTTCTGCATGAGGCTGGCTGCCAGCAGGCTCACCACCACCTGCACCCCCATCACCGTCTGCGCCGGGAACACCCCCCAGGGTCGACCCCAGCACCCGGCCTCCCATTGCTGGGGAGGGGAGCTGGGGAGCAACCCCACCCCCCCCTGCAGCTCTGCAAAACCGGGGCTGTTTGCTTCCCCTAGCCCCTCTCCCTGCCATGAGACAGCCTGGGCATGCACCCCCAGGGGTGCAAACCCCTGGGACACACTGGGCAGGCACCCCCCGGGACACCCTGGGCATGCACCCTCCTAAGCACGCACCCCCCCAGCAAGCACCCCCCGTGCGCGCACCCCCCGTCTGTGCACCCCTCAGGCGTGCACCCCCCCGGCCAGCCTGGCTGTGCACCCCCCGAGCAGACCCATCCCGTGACACCCTAGGCATGCGCCCTCCTAAGCACGCACCCCCCCAGCACGCACCCCCCCAGCATGCACCCCCCCAGCATGCACCCCGCGTCTGTGCACCCCCCCGGCCAGCCTGGCTGTGCTCCCCCCGAGCAGATCCCCCCCGGACATGCACTCCCCGTGCGTGCACCCCCCGTCCGTGCACCCCCCGAACAGACACCCCCCCCCCGGCCGCGCTCACCATGCCGGGGTCAGCGCAAAGGCGGCCGCAGGAAACCTGCCCACCGCCGCCGCCCCTCGCCGGCCAATCTGACGCCGCTGTCCCTCTGATTGGCAGATGCTTGACCAATGGGCAGGCGGCACCGGCGGGGGGGGCGGGCCCTCCGCGGCGCCAGGTTCCGCAGGCGCTGCCTCCTGGGAGCTGTGGTCCCCGGGTGGCCTCGGAGTCGCCGGTTCGAGTCCCGGCTGAGCCGGGCGGGTCAGCGGCACGGCCCCCGCCGCAGCTGCATGCACGTATATATAATAAATCATATCCCTGTATATGCCTGCACCCCCTCTGTATGCATGTGCACACGTGTGGGTGCGTATTTGCACCTGGAGGGCCTCCTTCAGCCTCAGGCTTTGCGATACCCCCTCCATGCATGCAGCCCCCGGGGATTGTAATTTGGGGGGGCAAAGGAGAGCACAGGGGTTTGGGTGGCAGCAGCTCGATCCCCGTGGCCTCCCCATCCTCCTCCACCCTGGACCCAGCGCTGGCTTGAGCTGGGATCTTCCCCTCCCCGGTGCCCTCCCTGGAGCAATGATGCCACGGGGCAGGCTGTAACCATGTCGCCTGCTGTGTCCTTTTGCCCACGTCTTCCTTGCGAGATAAATGGACTCCTCTCCAGCATTTATCCCCCTGTTGCTGCCTGGTTGCCCCTCCCTGTGGAGGAGCTGAAGATGGACGAGGCCAGGGCAGAGCCCACTGGGTGCAGCTGACGGCGGGGAAGAGGTTTCAGGGCCCATCACGGTGCCAGCAGTGGGGGTCTGCAGGCATTTCAGCTGAGCTTGGGGTTATTTAGGTCTGTGACAGCCCTGCCGTGCAAGGAGCACCCGCTAACCCTGACGGGGGGGGGGGGGGGTTCCAGGGGTGCTGGTGGGTGCCCCTGGTCCAGGCAGGGTGCTGGTGGCCCCGAGGGGTTGCCATGGATATCGATCTCCCAGGTGACAGGATGCGCTTCCCGCTAGATGTCGCTTCTGCCCGTGCCCCGAGCATCCCCCATGGGTTGGGGTACCCAGGCTTAGCAGGGGGGTCACACATCCCCACACCCCCCAAGCACCCCCAGAGCGGTCTGGGTGTGCAGCCCCTGGTGTGCCCCCCGGGCCAGACTCAGCCAGGAGCTGAGCAGCCCCTCTGCTGATGGGGAGAGGGCAGCGGCCGTGATGCCAAAAAAAAAAAAAACAGTTCCCCTCAAAGTGGCCCAATTCTGGCTGCTGGGTGCCTCCAGCCACAAGCTGAGACAGAGTAGGGGGAAGTAACTAGCTCCATCCCCTTTCTGGCCAGCCACAGCCTGTGTCCTGGCCCCCCCAGACCCTCCAGACCCCTCCAGACCTTGTGCTGGGGTGCAGAACTGGCTGCAGAACTGCACAAACCGGTGGTTGTGCCTCTCTGGAACAAATGCAGGGCCTCAGGATCCTCGCAGCCCCCATGGCGTCAGCTTTCAGCTCCACCGAGACACAAAAAAGGGGGGGAAAGGTGGAAGATGGATGCTCGGAGCACCCCCAGCCCGGCCACCCTCCCCTAGGACACAAAAGCCCCTTTGAGGACTGATTTTACACCGCTCCTGCCGATATGCCTGAATTAACATCAGCAAAGGGAGCTGCCGCGACGGGTGTTGTCGGTGCTGCTGTAAGGTCATTAAATTAACGAGGTGCCCCAGCCCTGTGCCCGGTGAGGGGGTGCCAGGCCCAGCATGGTCCCTTTACACCCCAGGAGGATGTTTCCTTGAAGGGTTTGGCAGCCACATAGCACCCACCGAGCTGGAGCCCAGCCTGGGACAACTGAGTTCCTGCTGGTCCTGCAGCCAGGGAACACCACGGGCACCTCAACTGGGGACCGGCTCAGGGACTTTTCACCTCTGGGTGATACTGGGGGGCAGCTGATGGGCTGGGAGCCCGTCTGTGCCCGTTCCCCCCCGAGAAGTTTCCCATTTTGCACAAAGGCGACGGCGGGCGGCGGCGGGCATTGTCCGGGCTGCATCGCATTACCCAGGGCTCCCGGAGAAATCACTTGTATTTCACGCTCCATTGAGCAGCTGCCTGTATATATTTTCTGTGTTGCACTTTTAGCATGACAAAAGGAGAGGGCCTGTGAACTCCTTGCTCTTCAGACCTCTCCGACATGTCCCCTGAGCGGAGCCCCCCTCGGTTAGCATAACAAACTGCCACGCTCCCTCCGACGTGCTCCGGCTCCCTCCCGGCCCTTTCCCCAGGGTAATTTAATGTATAGCTCAATATTTGGGAGTCTGGGTCGCTGGCGGTGGCGGGCAAGCGCGTGCTGGGGGGGTTCAGAGGCAGGGATTTCAGCGAGGACGTCCTCCTGATGCATCCGCAGGGGAGCTGGCCCAGCCCCATCTCACCCACTCTGTGTTTAACTGGTCACCAGAAACACTGGTGGGACCTCGCAGGCCTCCTTGGGGAGGGGACTGAGCCCCGGCAGCCCCGACTGGTCCCAGCACCAGCTCCGCGGCTCCGGCACTCTGATGCTGAGTGAGAACCAGAGTCACCAACCTCTGCGGTGATGCTGTGCATCGTTCCCCATCTGCTCCTGGAGCTGCAGGTCTCCAGGCTGTATTTTTGCCTTGTAATTTGTCTTAAAGATAGAAAAACAGGAGCTGAAGGGCTGGGGTGAGTCTCAGGACCAGCGACACCAGCTGGGGCTGGAGCAACTGGTCAGTGCACTGGGAGCTGATGGTGTTGGCTGGGTGTTTGTCCCTCCCAGGTCCCTGTTTGCACAACCTGTCCCACCCATACCCCATCAGGGCCACCTCTGGGACCAGCAAAGTGGGGCCAGACCCAGTTCCCAGGCCTGGGGTGGAAACGAGAAGAGGAAGAGGGAGTGAGGGTGAGGCGAGATGTACCCATCCCCACACCAACCAAGACCAAAGCCAGGCTGCTCCTGCCTCCCCCCAGCCCAAAAGCAAGAGGACATTGTCCTCTTTGGAGCTGGGTCCCCCTGGGACACCTCTCACCTCCCACCATGGGGAAGGAGAGGCCTGGCAAAGTAAAAGCCCAACCCACTGGGAAGGAAACACACCCCTGACACCAAGTCTCGTAGGGATTTGGGGGGTCCTGCAAGAAAAAGAAGCAAAATTCTGCTCAAACACAAGCAGTGCAAGGGACACCAGGCTGTGACACACCTGGGGGCTTTGCACACCTTTAATGCACATGATTTTTTTTTTTTTTTTTCACTTTCGCCTCGTTGAGCTGCAGATCTCGTCCTCCGGATGCCTTGGGCTTGGTGGTAGCAGCTCTGTCTCCTTCCAGTTTCCTGGGATGTCATCTCGTGGTCTGTGCACCCCGTCTGGTACTGGAATGTTGGGGGGACCCCCGGGTGAGACCCCCTGGGCACGTCTGGCTTCAGCCTTGTGGCTGCTTACATGGGAAAGGAGGGAGCAAGCCTTTACCCCAGGGATGGGGAGGGCATCTGCACCCATCCTGCCCATGCTTCAGACCCAGCCTTGGACTACTCCAACTTCTCTTGGTCACCTGGACCCCATGGTGTCCTCTCATGTCACCTGTTAGTGGGAGAAACTGGTGTGAGCCCAATCCCAGCCTGCTTAGAATGGGGGTTGAGTCCCTGAAGGACAGCTGGGCAGTGACCATGTCACCACCACGCCAACCCCCTGCCTGAATAATTTCTGGTGTCCCTACAACCGCCGTGAACTTGGGGACATTTCTAAGGGGGTCTGGCTCCAGCCTCCGGCAGTGGGAACAGGCAGGAGTTTGGTGTCAGCATGTATGTAAGTGACTGGTGACACCCTGGGACATCTTGAAAGAGGGCAGGTGACAGTGGGAGCAGGAAAACCCACGTCACCTCCAGTGTCTAATGGGGAGAAGAGCTCCCACCCAGGCAGGACAGGGGGGCCACGTCCTACAAAACTCATATAGGTCCTTTGAGGTGATGCTCTCAAATCAGTGAGAGCTCTGGGGGGACCTGGGCACTGGTGTGGGGTTCACGGGGTCCCCACTTCCCGCCCCATTCCCGCAGGCTGCTCCAAAAAATCCTTACCAAGAGCCGCGCTCCGTGCCGGGTCTCTGGCGAACAGGCTGACCCTCGCGCTGTCCCCGGGGCGGGCGGTGGCACCTCTTCACTCATGTCCTTGTTGCTCCCGTTGCTTGTGGGGGGTCCCAATGCCCCGAATGTGGGGTGCAGTCAACAAAACCCCCGTTGCGCTGCCGGGCAGCTGCCTGTGGATGAACATACATGGCATTAGCTGCTGCCTGCACCAGGGCTGCCGTGTCACATCACACCCCTCCCCTAATTCCAGTCTCCTCCCGCACTTTCCCCTCCTCTCCATGGCTCCATCCCGCTCCCCAGCCTTTCCCTTACACAGTTTTGCAGGGCCTGAACCTGAATTTGCTCATTAATTGGCCAGTTAGGGCATCCTTGTGTTCTCCCTTCACGTTCAGCCTTCAGCATTGCTTTATGGGGTGCTAAAGCTGCGCTGACAAGTGCTGCACGACATAAATCCCCGAGAAGTGCCTGTTCCCGCTGGCTTACCCGGCCGTGATCCCCCACAAGGGCTCCATCGGCTTTGGGGTTCAGGTCCAGCTCCCTCCATGGTCTTGGGAGGGGTGGGGAATCACTGTAGGCACCTTCTTTTCCCCAAACTCCTCCAACCCCAAGACCTTCAATGCCCTTGGGGATGGAGATGGGGCCGTGCGTCCCCCACCCGTGCACATGGATGCCTACACAGGGCTGGGGAAGACGTGAGCACGCTTGCACATGCTGAGATTGCCCAATGCTTCAACATGAATATTGCTCTTATAAAAGCTCCTCTTCGATGATTTTCTGCTCGGGGTTTGCCAGCACCGGGCTGGGCTCTCCCTCCGGGATGCAAAGCTGCCGGGGTGCAGGGAGGATGCTCTGATGCTTCAGGGGTCCCCTGCAAAGCCAAGCTCCCTGCAAATCCAACCCTTCCCAGCACAATCCCACTTCAAACCTTCTTCCTGGATCTCCCTCATCCCTCGCCTGCGCTGACAATACCCCGTCTGTCCCCCATCTCAAAGAAGCCTTGTCCGGGGGATGCAGATGCCCCGGATCCCCTTTTCCGGGGCCGGCTGCTTTGCTTCCTCATGGGATTGGGGTCACCCCGAGGGCTGCCCATGCTTCCTGGGAGCTTGGGGTTTACTGTGGTGCTTGATCTGCCTCCCCGTAGCCAAGCGGGTCCCCGTCTGGCCCCCACCCACCCTATCTTGTGGGGTGAGACCACTCGAGCCGAGCACCCGTGCAGCGCCTGGCGCAGGGATGGCCGGGGCTGGGATGAGGATCCCACCCAGTGCGATGGGAACGGGAAGGGCTCAATCCTGGTGCTGCACACAGTGTGAATTTAATTAATAAACCAACATGCGTTTTGGTCAGGAAAACCAGTATTTTTTATTTATCAAAATGCCCAGCTAATTCCTCTTTTCCCTAATGAGTTGATCAAGGCCCGTGGCTTACAGGGCAAAAAGCAACTCCTTCAGATGTTCCCCCTCGACCTTTGCCAAGGCACAGCGAGAGCCACTGCCATCTTCTCCCTGCTCCAACACGGGGGCAAGACACGAGTGATTCCTGGGGAGCCCTGGGGCAATTTGTGGGTCCAAACTTGGTTTTGTGACACGGTTTAGCACCTCTGGGACAACTGCCAGGGTGGAATAACCCCCGTGAGATGCAGCTGCAAGGGGGGAATTGGGGTACCCGGGGGGTCCGCAATCCCTCCTCCCCCGGCTGCCCTGCCCTCACCAGGCTGGGAACAGCTTGAGTGTCCAGGCAGAGAATTCATTTAAATAAATTTCCATAGGGATTAATTTCACCCCTTCTCCAGCAGCGTGGCGGGGGCGAGCGCGAGTGTGTGTGTGCGCATGAGAAAAGCTGAGCCTGTTTTGGGAGACTGGGGGAGATGAGAAAGGTGGGGGGCACCATCCTCTCCCCTGCAGCCCCCATCCACCCTCACTGCCCTTCATCCCTTCATTTCCAGCTGCGGGAAGGTTTTGAGCCCATCCAAGCCTGCACCCGAGCCCGGCCCAGCGGGTGCTTGGTGCCAGAGATGCTGGTCCCAAGCAGGGGGGATCATCAAGTGCAAATCACCCAGCGCCCAAAAATTTCAGACCTTTCCGAACAGAGCTACAGCAAGCCAAAAGTCGGCATCGGGTGGCCTGAAATACCATCAGAGAGAGAGATTTGGGCTGTGCAAGCTGGTGTGAAGAAAATCCACAGGATTTGCCATGATCAGAACCTCACAGATGCCCCCCCCCCCGCACCTTGTCCTGGCCGCGTCACAGTGCGGGGTTTGCCCTGCGGATGCCCGACCTGGGTCTTTCTGCACCAAAAATTGACATTTTGGTTTTCGGTGCTCCTTGAGCGGCGCAGCGGGACCCTGGGCACAAAACCCTGGCAGGGCAGGAATGGGGTGGGGGTGGGGGGGGATGCAGCGGGGGCTTCTCCATCGGCACTGATGGGATCCGGCACGGGGGAGCATGGGCGCAGGGGGTGCACGGGGATGCCACCAGCATTTCTCAACGCTCCCACGCCGCTGAGTAATTCAACCCACGGGCCCCCCCCGAGCTCTGCTCACCCGCAGCCCCGGCAGCCTCCCCCACCTCAAACAGCGATACCGAGGGCTGGGAAAAAATACTCCCGGAGCGGCCGCACAGTCTGGATTCTTGGAAATCCCAGAAGCCGATAATGCCATGATGTTTTTCAGCTTTTCCAGCCCTCCTCAGGACCCCCGGCACAGGGACACCTTTTCAGCGAGGAGAAATTATAATCCCCTCCCCTCCGTTAAACGAGTGCAAGAGCATTTAAATGACAGATGCAGGGTTTTTCCATTCTGTTTAGGATTTGGAATTCAAAGCGCGAGACGGATTCAAATAATCGGGGTAAATAAATCAGGGGTAGTGAACACTTGGAAACAAGCAGAGCAATAGCTATTTTTGGCTGTCAAATTTGGGAGGTTTTAAGGCTCCTTCAGGGCATGAACCGCTGCAAGAATTCGTTACCACTGCAGCAGAATAAAAGCACGGCGAGGAAGGAGTTTCCTTTCTCCTCCCGGGGAGATGGAGACGGGCAAACCCAGTGGTGCCAGGTCTGCTGAGGGTCTTGCACCCACAGAAATGCTGATTTTGGACTCTGGGGTGAAAAACGGGGACCCTGAGTGATTCCTGGGGGGAAAGTCCCCATGGAGAGTCCATCCCAGGAACCTGCCATTGCTCCTAAGTGGAGTTTTTTCCACTGAGGATGGAAATAGCAGAATTAAACCCATTTCTTTAAAAATGCCAAGCAGAGCACAGAACGTTGCTGGGATTTTTTGGAAAATGAATAAATTCCCTTTCCCTTTGTATTTTCTGCAGGAATCCCGATTTTTAGGTGACTCACATGCCCCTTTGGGAAAGTGAGGCTGCGGAAAGGAGCTCTCACCGTGTGGTGCCAGCCCCCACCAATTTGGGCTCTAAAGCACCTGCCAGCACCCAGAGCTGTCCCGGTGTCCTGCACCTCGTTTGTTTGAGTTCGTTAAGTCTTGGAGGTGCAGGGAAGCAAGCAAAGCCCGCAACCTCACTGGCTGCTGGGCTCATTAGTGTAATTTCAGAAGCCGGGGCTGCCCCGCAGCTGGGCACGGCTCAGCTTTTAAACCCCGGGAGCTCCAGAGCTGGGCTTGCAGGGGATGGAAATCAACTTTTTTGGGGGTGTACAGTGTTCTCTAACCCCCTTCTTTTTTTGCAAGAAGCAGCTTTGCGTGCAGCCCACCTCCTTTCCCAGGTAAACTGTCCTTGCTTTGTGACCCCATCCTGGCCTGAAACCCAGAACAGGCACCCATGGTCCATCCCAGGGTGGGCAGCCCCCCCATGGGTGCTGGGGACCTGGCCCATGGGGCAGGACCCAAATAAAATGAACTGAGTTCTAGTTTAAGGCAAAGCTCAACATCGGCGTGGAGGTTCTCTGCTCTTTGCCATGGAAACAAGCGTTGCTAAGGGATTGCTTAATAGGGAGTAAAATATTCTAAAAATCTAAGTTTATGTGGCAGCAGGATTGAACCTCCAGTCCTGGGGGTGGATGGGGTTGTCGGGGGCTGCCCTTGCTGCAGATCCCAGGCTGAAAGCTCCAGTTCTCCAGCCATATACAAAAACCCCCTGGCACGGGGAGAACTGGGCATGGGGCAGGGTGCTGGGTGATTTGGGGTGGGCACGGGCTTCCTGCCCACGCTGGCATGGTCCTGGGGTTGCTCCAGCAGAGCTGGGGATGTCCGATCTGCCAGCCTTTAAGCTTATAGGTTATTAAACAGGCTCACAAAAAGGATCCCCAGGGGATAAAGCCGCCAGCGCTGCCCCTTCAGAGTGGGTGCGATGCTGGGCTTTTGCACTGTGCCTCAGTTTCCCCTCCTGCACGACCAAAGTGGCTGCTGCCATCAGCAACCCGCTTCTCCTGGCATCCCCCCGTGGGCACGCTGAGCCGGCGATACCGGGTTAACTTCACTAATTTTATGGGCATGAGGAAAAGAGCTTGGGGAGTGGGTGGGGGGTGTGTGTGTGTGTGTGTGTGTGTGTGTGTGGAATAATACAGGCAGGGCCCACCTCTGACCTTGACCCCCGTCCCGCTCCCCGCGGCAGCTGGGCCGTCGCGCCTCCGCCGACAGCTCAATGGGCGCTTTGTCTGCGCCCGCCGGCCCCGCGCAGCCCCGTCGCCCCCAATAATATTTATGGAGTCGGCGGTCACCTTCTCCCCTGCTCCCTGCATCTCAATAAGAGCCGGGCTGGTGAGATCCAGGGAATCTGGGAATTTATAGTCCGGCGAGTTGCTGCTCTTTAGCCCCGCGGGGTGTGGAGTGGTGGATCCTGCCTCTCGGATAGCATGTGTGCGTGAATAACGTGTCCCGGCTTGGTTTTGGGTACTGTTCACAACCCTTGAGGTTTTTTTTTTTTTTCCTTTTTCTTTTTTTCTTAAACAAAATCTGTTTAAAAGCAAACAGGTGGGGGGAATTTTCTCGCTTTTCCCAAGCCTTGCAAAGCCGCTCTGCTCCCAGAGGAGGTTTGAGGGGTGGAAAAGGGGGTAAAAACACACTGTTGATTTATTTTGCTGCGTCTCTGCTCACTGCCCAATTCCTCCATCAATTAAAACAACTGAAAGCTCCTTTCCAAAGCTCCAGCAAAGACTATTTTTAAGATCCTTCTGCCAGAGATGCTGCAGATGGGTGCAGCCCCCGTACCACCGGGTGTAGGGGGATTTGGGGTCTGCCCTGAGCCTATTTCCTCCCCCCCTAACATTTGGGGAAGAAAGAGGAGGCTTGGTGAAGGTGCAGGGCACAGAGATCACCCCGCTTTGATGGGATTTGGAAAATCCTGATAAAAGGTAACTTCTTGATGGGTGATTCAGGGCAGGAAGGGACCAGGCATGAATCCAAGTTCCTGCAGAGTTATTCCAAACTCTACCGAAAACAGGACCGAAGCAGTGGATCTCTGTGGGTAGGAAATGGGGCCAATGTGGGCTGGTTTGGTTATTCCCAGATGCTCCAGCTGCACAGAAATTGGTCAACTGAGTCGGATGTTGCCTCCACTGTCCCCACAGGGATAAGAGTGAGACCCTGACAATATGACAGGGAACTGCCAAGGCTTGGGTCCTTCCCTGCTTCTTGGTGGGGAAAACCAGCCCAGGACGGATCCAGTAAATCCCTCAAATGACTCGCTGGACACCTGGGGACTGACACTGACAGCTCTTCCCCGCGATGCGGAGTTGCTCCCGTGTGCCATCCCCAAAGGCACGTGCTGCCCCATCCTGCAGAAACTGGATTTTGGGCCTGTTTCACTGGACTTTGGGAGATGCCCCAGGATAAATGAACCAAACTGGTCTTCTCACAGTTTTGCCACCATCTTCTGATAAATCCTTTAGTTTGGAGCAAACCAGTCCCCAGCTGATCCTGGTGCCAAGCAGAGCAATCCTCCAGTGCTGACGGGTGCTTCTGTGTTAATTTGATGCTTCCTTTGTTAATTGAGCTGGGAGGTAACGGGCAGAAAAGTGCCGGGATGCCGGGTATGTCCACAAACCTCCCTGCATGGAAAAATCTTCCTTTTGGGCTGTTTAACCCCAGAGCTGCAGGTACCGCTGTGCTTCAGGCAGGGTTTTCCCTAGGGCTGGGGCAGGAGGGGGGATGGCCCATCCTGACCCCCAAACACTGCATGGCAGAGAGGAAGAGGAGGAGGAGGGATGCTGGGGAAAGCAGAGCCGTGATTTCCATGCATGCCGAGCTCCCTTATTGCCGATTCATCAACCTCGGTCCCCTCGTCCCCATTGCACTGGGGCACCCCAGGAAAACACAAGCATCCCCCCAGCACCACACCCCGACCTGGCCTGAGCCAGAGCAGCTTCCAGCTTATTGAAAAGAGGAAACCAATTTATTTTCCTCCTTCTCCAGATGCGGGTTGGAAGGAGCATCGTGCCGAGCCGTGCCTGCAGAGCCGGGGCTGGTCCTCGCTGTGCCGCAGAGCATCTCCCGTCGGCCTCGTGCGCACGCGGCTTCTTCCCAGTCCCCTTCCCCAGGGCTCGTTCAGGGAAACGTTGCGTGACACTGGCCCTCGAGCGCCGGCGGCTGGAGAGGAATCTGGAGTGTCACCTCCTGCCACCGCCCTTGTTCCCAGCCTGCAGAGCAGATGCGTGGGAGATAACACACCCCTGCAAAGAGCGGCGTGAGCAGGGGAGGACGGGAAAGGGAAAGACCTGGGAGGCAAATATAAACTGATTTTAGCAAAGCTGGAGCACCAGAGATCCTTTATGCAAAGTGTTTGTCTTGCTCTCCGTTCATGGAAAAGGCAGTCAGGTGTTGACAGGGCTGGGGGAGGATGGTTTCTGGAGATGCCTCTGACACCAGGGCGTTTGGTCCAGGTGGAAAACAGGGATTTTTCTGCAAAAGGAGGGTGGTGGGGGGCACCGGGAGAGCAGGGGGCAGCTCACCGGAGGGGGAAGCTCAAGCAACCAAGCCACAAACCAGCTTGCAAAGGGCCGGCCCCAGCAGGTTGGGGTCTGCCCACAGCCCCTCGCCGGCCTCACGCTCCCTTCCCCACGACCAGGGCCGAGGTCGGCTCAGCCCTCCCGGGAGCGAGCTACCAGTGGGCGGGTGGGCGACGGAGGGTGTTTGTAACGAGCATCATTGCCGGCTTGCTGAGCTAGGCATAATTGTTGCAAAACCGCTGCGCACATGCTGAGCTTCATAATTATCAGGCTTGTCTGCCAGCCTCTCCCTTCCCCCAGCACAACGGCACACTTGATTATGATTATGGTGGCTAATTTTGTCTGGTGCATCTTAGGCATATGGGCCCCCACCTGCTCTGAATATGCAAACGCCGCTGATTTGCTCCTCAGCGGCTGCTCTGAGCTTGGGGCCCGTGGGCAGGCGGGGAGGGGGAACCTGCCCGGCGCAGCGAACAAAGAAACCCCACGCAGCGGCGCGGGCACAAAGAGCCGCCGGCACCGGAGCTGCCCACGGCACGGCGTGGCACTGCCCGCGCTCGGCGAGGCCCCTGCTTTTGTTTCCCACGGGCGAGATGGAGCGTCTGTGAGCAGCGAAAGCGTGCGCCGTGGCGTGCACCTACACCGTGGCGTGTGACTACACTGTGGTGTGTGACTGCACCGTGCTGTGTGACTACACCGTGGCGTGCACACGCACACCCCTACACAACCAACACCCTACGGACAAGCCCTGCCGTGCATCCCCCGGCGTTTCCCTGCTCCCAGCCTGGCTTTCCCCCAGCGCCGTGGGATGCATCGGCACCCCGCAGCCCTGCAGACCCTTCCGTGCCCACCGTGGTGGGGCGTTTTGTGAACGGCAGGAGCAGGGTTTTGCTCGCGCGCCGGTAAGGCTCGTAAAAGCGTCTGCGCGAGGGTGAAGGGCAGCTGAGGTGGTCTCACGTCTGCCTCGCCGGGACTGCTGTCCGGGGGGGGGGGCTTTGCCATGCTAATGGATAATTAGATAGGCAGACAGACTGACAGGGATCCAGATGGATGGATAGATGCCATGAGGATCTGGTGACAGATAAATAGGCAGATGCTAATGGGCAGCGCAAACAACAGCTTAGACTCCTGCTAATTCCCACTGTAATTTTTAAGCTCTCTCCATCCTCCCCCCTCTTTTTCCCCCCTTCTCTCCCCCCTCAACACAAAGCTCTCACCAGCGCATCCATCACTTATATTTATATTAATATTTTTGCACAGAAGTAGCATAAATGGGTTTAAGGGCTCTAAGGAATAAGGAGTAGCAGTGAGCTGAGGTGGGCGTCGTGTAGGCACTCGGGAGGTGAAACCCCTGGGGTGACCCAAGGACTGGCCAGAGCCGGGCTCGGCTGTTGGGGTGTCTCCATCCCTCCTTCCCCAGTGCTGCCGTCACCTCCCTGACACGGATTTATTTTTCAATTAAAAAAAAAATAGAAAAAGGTTTGTCCCTTTTCCTTTTCTTCCACTGTAGAGGTGGGAAGAAGAAAATTGTGAATGGAGGGGAGGAGGATGAGGTGGATTAGAGCTGAGGATCCGCGGCCGAACGGGCGGCGGAGACAAAAGAAAGCATCTTCGCTTGTTTTCCCTTGCCGCGGGGAATCCACGTGGCGGTTGCTGGAAGGCGGGGAAAGTGGGAAAGGGAAATAAATCCTGCTGGAAGGCTTTCGGCAGCGCCCGCACAGCGCGGGAGATTTATAGCCCTGCACTCCGCAGCCACCTGCCTGCGATGGGTGCTGCTCCCCTGCCCCTCCGGGCCGGGCTTGTTAGCCAGGACCCCTGGTTAATGAGATATGGGGATGCTCAGGTGGTTGTAGACCTTTGGGTCTTTCCAGTTTGGCAGGGACACCACCGCCAGCGTTGCCATCCCTCTGTTCCAGCCTCAGGCTGAGCCTTGGCGTGAGCCAGAGCCTCGAGCATCCTCCTGTGGGTACCAGCTCCTTAGCCGCCACGCTCTGCCTCCTGCTCGTGCTGCCTGGGCTCCTCTCTGTCTTATTTGCCCATCTCCTGCTTTATCACCTCTCATGATTTGTCTTTGAGCCCATCAGCCCCTCCATTAGCTGCTCTTTCTTCCACTCTGCCCCTTTTCCCCTCCATATTTTTTATTTTTTTTTCCCTACAGTTCTATCACTGGTTTCTTTCCATCCCTGCTCTATAGATTTCCATCCTCTTCCTCTCTCATTCTCTTCTCCCACTCCTTTTCCTTCTCTCCAGTGCATTTTCTGTCCCCTCTGCCATCCCAGGAGGGGTCGGCAGGACCGTGACAGTGGGGACAAGCACCCTGCTGTGAAGCTGGGTCCCTGGGCTGCCAGCACAGACAGGTTTTGCGGACCTATTTCAGACCGAGCTGTAAAATACAGCCCAAGAGATGCCATCGGTGTCTCCTGCGTCTTAGGAGAGAGCCAAAGATAAGGAGAACCTGGAGACTGGTCCCCAAAAGCAGCCAGAGCATCACTGCCAAGCTGCCCATGCCTGCCCCACAGCAGGAGCTGCAGTAGAAATCCACATTTTCGCCCTTATTTCACCCAACCTGGGGCCAAGGGTGGGGTTGGGGATGGGGAAGGGCCCTGGCCCCTCCGTGTCCCTCACGGCAGGCGCAGCGGCTGCGGGAGTGGGTGTGGGGTGGCCGTACCCGACACCCACTGTGTCAGTCAGAGCTGGTGCCTCGGGGGAGCGGGGGGCCCCCAACCCCAGGGTCACCCCCCAGCCACCGAGCTGCCGGCTGGGATTAAACCCCAGGGAGCCTCTTACCAGCACCATATAGGTATACACCACATCACCACACACACATATATATATATATATATATATACACACTCTTACACACTCTATGTGTATATATATAACATATATGTATAATCTCAGCCCTTTTCTTGTTTTGGGTGGAAGCAGCTTGCTGATACAATTAAAAGTTTTACCAGGAAATATTCCGGTTTTTAAAGAAGCCAATTCGAATTCTCAGCAACTTGCTGAGAAAGCGCCTGGGGGCTTTTCTGACGAGCTCCCGCAGGTATTCCAAATTTCCTTCATTTGCTTTACGAGGTAGGTAGAAAAAAAGAGAAATATCTTCCTTATAAATATAGATAGATGTATAAAAAATATTCCAGGGATTATTTTTTTCCCTACGCAGGTCCCTCTTTCCAGTTTTCCAGTCTCTGCACCATCCACTAGCTCAGGTGGATAAAATCCCAGCAGTTATGGGTCGGGGTGGTTGGATGGATGCTATTAAGAAACGTGGGAAAGGAGAAAGTTTTAATTCACAGTTTAAAAAAAAATCTTTTTCTGAGCGGATGTTGAAACCTCCTTCAAATCTCAATTCTTTTGCTTCCCATCACAAAATACCCTGGGAGAAATCCCCAAGGCAGCTTCACCCATCCCTGTGCATCAGCCAAGGGCAGCACCCAGGTGGCACCAGGACCCCACGGCCCGGAGCCATTGGAAAAAAAAGACAACATTGGCTTAAAATACAACCCAGATTTTGGGAAATTAATTTTGGACTGATTTCTTGTTGCAACCATCACCTGCCAAAATCCCACTTCTTTTGGGTAGTTGCCCTTATCCCCCTGCGAGCACCTGGCTTTTTTTGGGGGGGATAACTGGGTGCACGTGGGGTACAGACATGGCCGTTGACCAAGACGGACGGACGGCATCCCCAGGACGGACAGAATTTGGCACGGCAAAGGGGGTGACGATGGCATTGCCTAGACAAGGCGTTTAATTAAGATGCAGAAGCGGTACTTTGGGTGCAAAAAGCGGAGGGGGAAGGGTTAAGGGGCGGCGGGAGAGAGGGGTGAGAAGAAAGCCCGAAGAAAAGAAGGGACCTCATAGCACCCGGCGGGGCTTGCTGGCTTAATTACCATATTCAAATCTAATTAATTCCCCTTTGCATAAAAAGGCCACGGCGGGCGTGGGACCAGCCTTGCAGATGGCGTCTCATGCTCAGCACCATTTTGGGGCTGCCGGCCATCTTAGAGCGAGGAGGAGGAGGAGGAGGAGGAGGAGGAGGAGGCCGGCTTCGCCCGCGGCGCTGAGCATCTGTTCGGGGCGCCCGTCGGGCACGGGGCTGTGCCAGGTGCCGGCACCAAGAAGCCCCATCGACCATCATTAATATTGCTTTGAGGAAGAAGAGGCTATTTAAAAGCAGGAAGAAGGAACGGAGCCAAAATGGATGAGGGGGGGAGGGGGGGGTTCAAAGTGATGGAGCATCATAATTTTAGGGATGTTAGTGTGCCCCTCACCCTTGGTTGGGGCTCCCCACTCCATCCCTGCATCTCAGGGTCTCCAGATGGGATGGCACTGGTGTCCGTGCCGGTGGAGACTGACGGTCGATGTGGGGATTTTGATGAATTCCCCGAGGAATTTGATGGAGGAGGTGGGCAGTGGGGGTGCTAAAAAGCAACACCAGCACGGCCCTGTGCCATGGGAGCATCCCGGACCCATCTCCAGAAGGTGATCCCATGGGGATGCACCCCGCATCCCGCCTTGGCCTGCTGGCAAGCAGGAAAACCAGCAAGAAAATCCAGCCTCAACAAGCAGATACTCAACCCCCCTCCTGCACAGGCATTGTTTTGGGGAAAAACAAGGGATAATAATCTTCATCTCCCCATTGTGCATCTGGGGGTGAACAAAATCCCTGCCGGAAAACCAGCCCTGAGAAAGTAGGCTGCCGATGGGCACCACGGCAGCACCCGCACCGGCTGCCAGGCTCACCCTGGGAAAGGTGAATGTTATTTTTCTAATGTTTTGGACAGCTTCACCATCACGTGAAAAAAACTTGGAGGAGTGAAGACCGCAGGGGATGTGGTTTTTCTCCCTTGACTGCCTCCCAAGGATGCGATGCTGCGGCTGCGGGGCTGCGCTCCTCCCCACCCCCTTCCCCAGCGCTGCTAGGGGCTGGGATGAAGCTGTCACCCCAAAAACAAGGACCCAGAAGGAGTTGGAAGTCATTTGTGCAGCTAAATCCAATGTCTACCGGCAGGAAAAATCGGGGTTGGGGGGGTTGGATAGGGCAGAGCAGGAGGGTGTGTGGATGGTGGGGGAGGTTGCACTCCCAGCTGGGGGCAAAGCGAGAGGTGGGGGGGAGATTCCCCCTCATGCTGTTTAGTCATAGAAAAGGATGGTTTTGAGTCATAGAAGAAAGATTTTTAGATGTACATTAAAAAGGAAATAGAGGGGAAAAGTCAATTATTTGGTAAGCAAAAGCTGTTACCAATAGCCCAGTCTTGTACTAGCTTTGAGGGGGGACTCTAAACGTTTTCAAAGAGGAATATAAATAAAATGAGGACAAAAGCTGAGGTTTTTCCCCCAAAACAATAAGAAAAATATCAGTGTGGCACCTTGCAGCCTGGCAATTGCAGAGACCTGCCTGGACCCGCTGGCGAGAGGCAGCCCAGCCGCGTGCGGAGCCGTCGTGGGTGCCCCCCTCTGCAGCGCTGCTCCCCGCTCCCCCCAAATCCCCGGCTGGAGAGAGCCCAGGGGGAGGTTTTGTGGGGAACACCCAGTGCTGGCTGGTTGGGTTTGCAGAAAGGGAAGAGGAAAGCAAGAAAACCCCAAACTTACCCCATCCAGGAGAGGCGAGGGGTCTCAAGCATCCCTGGGGGAGCGAAGCTGAGGTCCCTTGCCTGGGTCCGCAGGCGCTGCCCTTGCCATGGAGGGATGTGACCAAACCAGCCCGTCCCCGACGGCCACGTACACCTTTGCAGCTGCAAACCCGTGCCAGGAGCAGCCGTCTCCCAGCCCAGCGGCTCCCCCAGGTGAGAAAGCCCAGTCCACGGTGCCCCACGGGGCTCCTCCATCCTGTGATTTCCAGGGCGAGGGTGTTGCAGGGTGGGTGATCGGCCCGGGGCTCTGACCATGCTGGCTTGGGTGCTCCCTTTTGCTCCAGCCACTTTGCTTCATCCCCGTCCCCGGTGGTGGATGCTGCTGGACCACGGTGATCAAAGCAACGTGGGGATCTCTTCTCTGCAACAAAATAAAAAGAGCAAAGCCGTCACCTCCAAAACCCCACCGATCACCTCCAAAACCCCACCCTGCTCTCTCTGCTCATCACTGAGCCATCTTAAACATCCTGCAGCCGCGCTGGGCAGGCCCACGTGGCCAAGGCGATGCTTTAAGGGGCTCACAAAGGTTTCTCCTGGCACCGCCAGAGCCGGGTGAAGGGGCTCGAGGTCTCCGCATCCTCTACGTACAAACCCCGCGTGGTCGGTGGCCACTGCTGGGCTCTGGCTACCTGCACGGGTTCCAGTTTAGTGGCATGATTCTGTTTGGTTTCTCCATTGGGGTCTGGAAAGAGGGTCCATCACCCCCAGGATCACACCCCGGACTGCATCCCGCATCCTGTTTTGCAGCCGGGATGGCATTGGCAGGGAGAGGAGCCAAACCTTCCCGGGAGCTGGTGGGGAGGGAAACCCCTCCGTGTTGGGTGATGGGGGCAAATCCCCTCCAAATGTGCCCTTGGTCATCTCCCCCGTCCCCCAGCACCCGCTGCCAGCGATGGGATGCCTTGGTCTGCCCTAGATCAGCCTTTTTATCACCTAAAAATCCCACGGTGTGGAGGTGAGGACTTCAGCCCTCATTGGCACCCACATTCACCCTGCCCCAGGGAGGGGATGGGGGGGGGGGGGGGGGGACACGCACCCATCAGCCTATTTGCTTTGCTCCCAAAAGCTCAACCCCTCTGACACCCCTCAGCACTCCCGAGGGTGCCCGATGGGGAAAGAAGACCGCAAAAAGATCGGAGACTGTGGCTTGGTGGCACTGCCCCAGACGGGCGGCGGGTGCTGGTTGCGGGGGACGGGGGGGGACACACCGAGGAGACGGGGGGCTCAGACACAATGCTGCCATTGAGGGGGCCGCGCCGTGGGTCCCGGCCCTTCCTGCCCAGACACAATAGGGGCGGCCCCGCACGCCACTTGTGCGCATTGTGCGGTGGCCACCCCCCCCCCCCCCCCCCCCCCCCAGCCCCTCCTTTCTGTCCCCCATCGGATAATGGATCCGCTTTGTGTGCTTGGCTGGACAAGGACTTTGTGGCAGAGAAAGAACCGGTGCTTGTCTGTCAGAAGAGATCGGCCAAGAAAGGGACGGGGAGGAGCGGTGGCTGGAGCGGGGCAGCGTCCCTCGCCACAGCATTGGCCTTGCACAGCAATATTCCCAGTGGTGCCGGCGGGGGGGGGGAAAAGTCCTTCCTGGGAAGTCGGGGAGGTGCAGCCCGGTGACCGCGGTGCTGCCGGACCTGTCGCTCAAACCCCATCCCTGGTCCCGGCGAGCATCCCGGCGAGCATCGCACCAAATGCCCCCTCCCCTCGCCCAACATAAATCCACAGCGGCAGAGGGTCCGTGTCCTCCTGCCCAGCTCCGGCCCCCCCAGTCCCTCCAGACCCCCCCTCCGGCCGCCGTTCCTGGGGATGGGATCAGCAAAACCTACAGGAGATTAATTCTCTGGCCGCCTCGCTTTTGCTGTACCGGTGTGCGGGAAGGCGGATGGGATAATCCCTGACTTCAGCGTAGCCAGAGCCACAAAAAGCAGGATTAATAAGAACTAGGCTTTAATTTTGGCAGCTCTGAACAGGTCCCTTTTCCTGCAGCATCCCCAATTCCAGCACATCGGATAATTAAGGGACAGGGGAGCTCCGTGGCTGACGGTCATGTCCTAACTCTGCCAGGAGGGGAAGGCCAGCCCTGACACTGTCCGGCTGGGAAAAACGACGGATTTCAGCCCAGCCAATCAGCCAGTGTTGCGTGTGCAGGTACATGTGTGTGCCCACGAGTACATGCTAATGCCAGGCGTGTGCCACGTGGCCCCGCACGCTCCACAGGAGCAAGCGCAGGGCCCCTCCGGCAGCAAACCCTGCACAAAACAGGGCAGAAAACTGGGATTATTTCCTGTTAAATCAATTCAGGAAACTGTTCACATTTATCGTATAGGTTGTGGCAGGTTTTTTAATTGCTGAAATTCTGGTTTTTGAAATCAGGTCTGTGCAAATGCCGGTATTTTAATGAAAACATGGAATTTTGTTTCCCAAAATTTTAGCTTGATAATCATCATCTCCATGTGCTGATGGGTCTGTGCTCGCTGCCGGGTGCTCAGGGGACATCTGCCAGCCCAGACCCTTCCCGAGGGGATCAAGATGAGGATGGGACTTCAGGAAAACCCAAATCCAATCGCACCAGGAGCGGGTTCATCCCACCTGAGCTTCATCAGCACAGTGGCAGCGGCGTTGCCAGCCCAGGCTCGGCATCCCGAGACTCCCACCCCACACCCCACACACGGGTGGCATTTTGAGGTGCCCACAACCATGAAGCTGGAGGTGACATCTCAGCAGCATGTTCCCCTTCCCCAGTATATTTTCCTGCTGGTGTTTGGGGTCTGGGTGCCCACATAGAGTGAGCTTCTCCAACAGTATCACCCCAGGGGACCCCAAACCCCCATCCCGGGTGCTGTGGGGCTGAGCCAGGCGGCTTTTCACCCACCGGGGAAAGCTATTGGGCCAACGGGATGATTAGGGTGGCCTGTGGAGTAATTATCTCATTGGGCAACTAATACCCTTTCAGCGGGAGCGGGGTGGGGAAGTATTGTTCGGGCTTAGGGATTACATCAACCCGGCTGGAGCAGACAATGTGCTCCCCCTGGGAAGAGGCAGCTCAGCCCCAGGGGGAGAGGAGGGAGGCAGGGGCTGAAGCTGTCTCAATTAGTGAGTGTCCCAGGGAGGAAGAAGGTGGGGGGGGCTCATGGAGGGACGTGGGGAGTTTAACGGGGGAAGGAAAGCATCCTTAACCCTTCATGTTCCTCCCGCACAGAGACTCGGTCCTTCACCCCTGCAGGGACAAGGAGATGCCAGGAGGGCTGGATGTATCCCCTCCTCCCCATGATGCTGGGGAAAGCAAAACACAGCCAGTTTTCTCCTTTTGCTGCAATTTTTTTTTTTTCTTTTTGACAGCCCAATGCCAACCCCTTCTAGCCTCCCTGCACGGCAATAGCACGTCAGCCACTTCGTCCTTGTACTGGGGACAGGTAGCAATGGGGCACAGCGGCCAGGGCCACCGGAGAGACCAGCCAGGTGACAAACAGGGCACGTCCCCAACCCTAAAAATCCATGCTGGTAATGAGGGGGGATGACAACCCCACGCACCTACACCCAGCGACGCGCAGCATCGGGGCACAGCGGGTCCTTGGCATCTCCCTAAAACGCTGGCTCCGGCCCCGAGCCCACCCGGCACAGCCGCCCTGCTCTGGCTGGTGAGGGGTTGGGGTTCATTTTGGCTGGGTTCGAGGTAAATCAGGCGTGAGGCCGGCGGGCCGGCGGCAGCCACCGCGCCAGGTTACCGGCGGAGCAAGGGGCCGGCTCCACCTGGCCCTCGCCATCCGCGGGGTGATTAAACACGGGGCTCCCAGCTGCCATACATTTTTAAATAAATGAATAATACATAGCAGGGTGATAAATAAATAACGGCCATACATTTGAACTTAGCCTCTGAGAAAATCCTTTTAGTTCAAAAGGACCGGGGCGCTTGGAAAGGGGAGCCCATGCATTTTGAATGGGCTGCCATCAAGTGTCAGGGCTTGGCAAAGGAGACAAGAGGGGGAGGGATAAAACCGGCCTCGACACAAGCCAGGGGGGGTGACACACACGGGTGGAGATGAGGGTCCTTGGGCATTGCCAAGGGTGGTTTTGGTGGGAGCAGGCAGCGATGGCACCCAGGGATGTGGCTGCCCCGATGCTGCGCACCCAGAGCGCGGTGTGCCCCAAATCCCTGGGGAGGAGGAGGATGGAGGGTGCTGTGGCAGGAGGTGAAGGGCAGCCCCCGAGAAAGGCGAGCGGCACATGAAAGGTCCGGTCCCGCTAACCCCGACTGCGCCGAGGAGGAGTCCCCGTTTAGCAGAGCAAAGGCAGCGTTTACTTAGCAGTGGCCCTGTAAAGAGGTGGGTGGCCCTGGAAGGTGGCCCAGACAAATACAAGGGGATTAGACAAGTGAAAGGTGTGAGCAGAGGGGAGAAGGGGAGGAGGATGCTCAGGCGAAGCCGTTAGCAGGGGCCTAACGAAGCGCCTGAGTGGGGCAGGGGGTGGAGAGGCAGAAGCAGGTGGGAGCTGGGGGGGGGGGGGGGGGGCCATATTGTTGCATTTTTTGGGGAGGGAATCCAGACACACCCCATGTCAGAGGGGCTGGGATTAGTTCTGGGGCTTCCCCAAACCCCTGCACGGGGCAGCTGACGGCACACGCCTGCCCTAGCACGTGTCCCTGCCACATCTGGCCATGCACACGCTTGTTCTGGCTATGCACAGCCATGCACATTCATGTCTGGGCTGTGCACAGCCATGACACACATGTCCCAGCCATGCACAGCCACGTACATGTATGTCCCAGCCATGCACACATGTGTCCCAGCCATGTACACATGTCCCAGGACACGGTCCTGCTGGGTCTCACTCCCTCACCCTTTGCAAAGCCCGAGAGCCACGGAGGCAACTTTAATTCTTTGCACAAACCTCTCCCGCTTGCTTGCATCGCTAAGTGGGTATTGATTTATTAGGCTGTAATTTAAGGCAGAACGTTTTAAAATGAACTCACACACCAGGCCCAGGCACGAGAATAAACAAGACTTGATTTATTCGCTGCCCGTCTCTCGGCAGATGCCGGGCCAGCAGCACCGCAGGGCCGGGGAACGCTACGGCCGCATCCTGGCATGGGAAGAGCAGGAGAAGGAGAATCCCCCCCCCCATCCCTGCACATCCCCCCCTCAGCCCCTCACGCACACATCCTGCACCCCAACAGCAGCCCCGGGTAAGATCCCCCAGAGCTCCCCCAGTGCTGGGGTGCACGGGACTGGGACGGTGGCGGGGGGGCAGGGGCAGAGCTGGCCAGAGGGACCGGTGTGACCCCCACCAACATCACCGGAGCCACTGGGATCACTCCCCAGTCAGGTTCTGCGAACTACAGGCTGGCTGGGGTTTGAACCAACCCTT